CGGTGGATTCACTCTTACAATGATTTATCCCCTTCCTTTTGTACCTTACATGTAGATTTAAAAAGGGCTTCTAGACGTTTGGCGCACAAGAAATGAATGTAGGCTTAGCCAAGGGGCAAACGAGCTCGTTATGTAAATATTGTAACAAGCCAGGTCCAAGACGCCCATTGGCGAGGTGGAATACGAGCTTGTTACAAAACAAGCCAAAGAGGTGGATTCGCGATCTCTGGAATTGTAAGATTTGTACACTTGAAAGCCTTTTCACGCACATCGGCCGGTCTTATGTTTAGCCCGCCAGAAGCCTGTCAAGTCTGAATACTCTCGTCCCTCCGCCATGGCTGGCACTATTGCCTGTAGTGTAATTGGCCTGCTCTTGTCTTCCTTTCCTCTGCTCGTGACTCGTCGGTCCTTCGCAAAGATATTCAAAGTGTCCGAGCTTCTCATCCTTTGCTATCCTCTCTACCTTCGATCACTTTGAAACTTTCTGCTTCAGGATTCCTTGATTAGTCTTTCGTCAATCAAAAGTAAACCGTAGAATACCTTAACACTTCTATAGAAAAACTTTTACAAACACTCTTGATCTCAGTAGCTCGCTTCATCATGCAGTTTCAAAAATCAATGATCGTCTTTATTGCTGCCGTTTTCACCCTAGGAATGGTAGCTAGTGGTGCTGGTAATTTCGACTACCCTTGTGGTATCCAGAATCGGCACGTAGGAATGTGCGGCACAAAGGACGCGGTACATCAGACTTGGACCTGTAAGGTTTCTTTTTTTTTTTAAAAAAAAAGTATTTCTTTCGACCTCAATTAGTGGCTCAGCTGACTGAGGTGATTGGTTCCGGTTTGCTTTAATTATTTGGTCGACGATTTGGTAACAAAAAAAAAAACAGTGGCGAATAACATATCGAAGGGCGGCGTCCAATTCAAAGCCTGCCCAGGGAGCCAGGTTCAACATTGCTGTGACAATGTCATCAAGAGGCTAGTAGATGCTGTTAGTTACCCTTTCTGGCTTCCACTCTCACCCTCTGAGGTCTTGCATTACTAATTTTGAGGTTCACTAATTCGAATTCGGCCGGGATTTTCAGAAAAAAAATAATAATCTTGCGTTCTCATATGTCACCACTCACTGCGACCAAGTCACTTATCAACCGCCAAAATAGATGGACTATGTAGTAGCGTTAGGCTTGTTAACTTTGAAAACTAGCCACTCTGTCTACGAATCCCAAAAGCCTTTCAAGTACTTCAGTTCCCTCAATGTAGTACATGCTAGCTTAGTTTAGTTTATTCTTGAAAGCAAGCCAATACTATGATTGAGAATGCTTGAGTTATGAGTCATTTGGAGTGCTCAAAGAAAGAAATCTAGTGTGCACGTCGGCGGTAATTCCCTGACAGCAGGCTTGTTATGACTTGCTGGGGGCAGAAAAAGTCAACAAAAACAAACAAAAAAATTCAACTGTTCATTGCATCCATCACATGAAAAAAGGCATGGGGAAATCGTTCCGCAAAACGATCCACCGGAGAGGTCATGTCAATGTAAAAAAAAGAAAAAGAAACTCAGATGTCGGGTTGTGAATTTGCAGTCCTCCGGGTCCTTATGAGGTAGCGGACCCGATCGTAAGTGACACCAGAGGCCTCCGGCTTGACAGTAGACGATTGCAGCTGAGAAAATCAAAAGGAACGATTAGTCGGAAGATTGACCAGAGATTTAGGTACATGAACTTGATTGGAGGAAGTGATCAGATCACTCACATCCAACACATCATTAGTCTGGGTGAGGTCGTAGATTTCCTTCCATCCCAGTCCAGCGTCGACTCTGTCCTTGACCCAGTTATCGACCACGAGCGGCGGCCGGGTGATGAGCATTTGTTGATGGGAGGTGAGCTCATGGTTATGTTGCCAATGCCAGGCGACTCGCAGCGAGTTTGTCTGGATATGATGAGAGACTGAGAAGCGTGCCTTACATCCACAGCGGGCGGATGTGTGGTTCTTCTTGCGCGAGTTGGAGACACGCTTGGACTGTCCACCGGACGAGCAGCGATACTCCAGCTTGAAGAAAGCCTCCGGCCGGCGGCCTCGGCCTTTGGTTTGAGCCAAATCCTTCTCGGAGGGTGGGGTGCCTCTCTGGAAATTCCAGCGGGTCGTTGCGAGCATCGCATTCACAAATTCCTGCGCTTCTTCTAGCGTGTTCCCGGGAATCGTGAAGAGATGGGGATGGGTCGGGAAGGTTGGACTGCTACCGCCCACGTGTCGGACAAATCTGAGGGCGTTGGGAGCGGAGGTGACCCCTTCGGGCACTGGGATTTCTTCCGTCATCGGGCGTGGAACCACGTCGTAGATGTCCTGCACCGGTGGGTAAGCTACAAAGGTGCAGCTGGAAATACTGGTTGATGCCATAAGAAATGCTTGAGTTTCTAGGAAAGAAAAGTGGGAAGTGCCAAATGCGAAGTAGCGTAACAAATCAATAGCAGAATAAACCAAATGATCGACAAGCAGGAATGAAAGCTATGTTAAACGAAATAATATTGATTTAGGCCAAGGGAGCAGAGAAATAAGAATGGGTGATCCGCGCAATTAGAAGGAGCACTGAAACTGAGGATACACGCAATGCAAAAACAGATTGCGGATAAAGAGTTGATGAGGGTGAAGGCTTAAATAGGCACCCGTCCTAAAAGTTATAAAGATGGTTGAAAGAAAGGTAAGGAACCGGCACAATAAAAAAAAATGAGAAACCGGTAGAAACACAAACGCGACAGCGACAGTGGGGCAGCCTGGAGGACTTTATAGAGAAAACCCGGTGGCTAAGTAACTTTAGATCTTATGACCCTGCAGACCACTCAGGAAGGGAAGCCCAATCCCATGCTCATCTTTAGTCGTCCAAATACTTCCGAAAGCGGGTTTTTACTTTTCTGGAGTTCCTCTAGCTGGCTGTTGCCCCTTGATGGTCTGGGAGGGACCGCCAAGGTTAATGCGCTTTCTTCTCCCGGACTCTTTCCCTCATCTGCTTCGACCTTGTTTTAGATCTTTCCAATCCTGACTTAGCTTATCTTACCCTATCACTTGAACTTTTTCTTTCAAGTGCAGTTTCCCTTGATACATTATTTGTATTTACATCTGTGTACATGTTGCTGTATGAATATGTTGTGATACTTTCAAGTTTCATCCATCGGTGTTTTCCAAGTGAGAACATACATATCTCCGATTCTCCCACGTACCTAAAATTCTGGGAGGAACGATCGAACACACAAAAGAGGCAGAATGGAATACAAACCGCCGTACAGGGCAAGGTTGCCTATGACGCTACTAGAATCAACGGCCGACGAACTGGCGGAATCGATCATCTCAAGCTCGGTCAAGCTCCATCACGATCGACCCGAGGCGTTCCAAGTAGAAGCCGTCTCGGCACTCGTTCGTCGAAAGAAATGCTTCGTCCATGCCGCCCCTGGGTTTTGGAGGAAACGGATCCCCGAAATGTTTTTTAGCTTGTTCGAAGATAAGGCCATCGTTTTGGTCTTGAATCGCTTGGATTGCTTGGGAGACGATCAGGTGAGCGCTGCTTCAAATATATATACAAATTTGTTTGCATTTGTGAACTCACAATTTATTCCACTTGAGTATTCCGCCAGGTCAAAGAGAAAAAGCTGCTTAATATAACCGCAATCAACCTGACTCGAAGGAATATCGACCGTGAGACGGTTAAGCAGATCAAGGAGGGCTGTTTCAGCTTTGTCTACCTTGTAAGTCGGCGGCATGCACAGACTATCTAGTTGGCAAGATCTGACATTTTCTTTTGCACTGGGGATAGAGCCCAGAAATATTCCTCAACAACTCATTGTTTGAAGATTTGTTTACCAGCACCGCGTTTCAAAACCTACTTACTTTGATAGTTGTTGACGATGCCGAACTAATGTACTGGTGGAGCCTAGTCGCAACGAACCAGAGCAAACTCCTCAACAGTTTTGAACGGAATGAAGACCGCTGTCGAAGCCGGCCTTCTTATGGAAGGATGTGGGCTGAAAGGTTGGAGGAACCACGCAACTTGCCGGTTTTGATGATGTCCGCTACTTGTCGACCAGCAGTGCTGGATGCGATCCGGTTCAATCTGACCCTACGACCTCAAGACATCACCATGATCAATGGCCAACTCACGCGTCCGGAAATTCGATTGATCCGGATCCCAATGCAATCCACCTTGAGGTCCTGCGACGATCTTCTTAGAATATACGCACCACATACCAAAGTTCCAGCCATCAAGACTGTGCCTACGATCATTTACTCCGGACAATTAGACGCAACTTTCCAAGTGATGAAGATCGTCAACGAGGCACGCGATACCAAGGGAGGGGAAATGGACCCTCACAGTGAGTTCATCCGTCGATTCCACTCGGTTACAGGCGAGTTGGACAAACAGAAAAACATAGCCGACTTTGTGGAAGGAAAGGTGCCGGTGTTGTCGGCAAGCATGGCCCTGGGCCTCAGCCAAAGCGTCAAGCGGGTCCGATCGGTGATCACCATGGGTCGAGCAGACCCATCTGCAATCGTCCAGATGGTCAGTAACTGTGGGCTCGATGGGAACCCCGGATTGGCTCTCTTGTTCATGGAGCCCAAACGGAAAGAGGGGAAGAATTCGCCCGACGACTTTGATGCTAAGTTGAAGCAATCGCAGTCGGACGACGATAGGATGGACGCTTTCGCAATCACGCCTGTCTGTTTAAGAGTCGCGCTCGCCGTGGATAGCCAGTTGAGTCCAGGATCTAACTCTGGAATATGTCGATCAGAGTCAACTGACTCATTTTTCCGAACTTCTTATATGTAGGTTTGGTTATATCCCCTTGTCTGATACCGATCCAGTATTCCAAGCCGAACGCGAAAAGGAGATTCAGGCCGAGCTTCCGCCATGCCAGTGTTCAAACTGTGCGCCAGATGCCGCCCAGGCCATCCTCAATCTTGCACCACAGATCACAGTTGACAACTTCGACGAGATCCTGAAGGACCCATTCAGTGTTGCTAAAGATAATTCAATCGTCATCAAGGAGCGCGTGAAGAGGCACGCAAGGTCCGATTATTAACCCATTTTCTTTCTGCTTTACTCATGCCGGTTTATTCTTTATCTATTTACGATGCTCTTTTTTTAGATGATAGTATTCCAGTCTATTCCAACAGGCTGATTTATTGTCTGAAGCAAGTCTTGGTAGTCCATGAAGTTATGAACCCTAGACCATGAGTGGTAGCACAGGTACACATTTCAATAAGCTTGTAGCTGAAATAAATGTGCAAGGAACCGGTCACCGGTTCTCACTATTTTTTATCAATGTGTCAGCTCTGAGTTCCCTACTGTACTGAGCCACCCAGACCTTTCCAAGTATACATATTTCCCTTTTCCATTCATTCACTCAGCAATCGTTCATTTCTTCATTTTTTTCAACAGAACGAGCATGTTTGCTCAATCCAAAATTGACCCAAGACCTTCTCCACCACATGCGGGATAGTTTTCAGGTTTTTCTATGCCAAGATATTAGCCAACCTCTCCCAAATATCCTACATTAGTTTTCTTTGGAAAAACTCAGGCAGAGCCCATAGTAAACCACTTTTTAGATCAGATACACAATCTGGTGTCCCATGACATTTGCCTGCTTGAACGGGCAACAATCATAGCACTTAGGCCGGTCTCTAACAAAGGGGGACTCTTATAAGTTGGTGTCCCGCTGTGCAGCTTGCCTGCTAATTCAAAACAATGTAATTTGGGCAGGCTAAGTGCTAACACACTTCTTAAAACAATTCCTGAGGCATGTTTCTTTTGCATTAAAAAAATTCCTCCTGACGCTTCATCAATTCATTGTCCCAATCCATCTTGAATCAGATTGCTCAGAACTTCTATCCCATGACACTTGCCCTAAGAAAATGTTTAAATGTACTAGTGTTTGCATGGAAATGTTTTACTGTGTATGTACAGTCTCCTCCCAGATGTTTATAGCCATCTGTTTTGAGCTCCACACCGGGAACCCAAACATTTCAAGTCACAAGAATTTGTGGAATGGTGGAAAATGGTTCTCAAAGAATGAATATGAAAAAATAATAACAAAAAATAAGATTTTAAAATTTGTAAAAAGTAAAAAGGAGAAAATCAAAAAAACTGACAGCCTCAATTTTTCTTTCAGGAAAAGATGAAATGTCCAAAGTGATGGTATGAGATCTGGAATGAATGATAAAAAGTGAAAATTTGGAAAAAAATAACCACTTGGTGGTTTAAAAAGGGTGCCTAGAGGGTCATTCATCAAGGAATGTGGCATTCTGGTACTGCAATCTACTGATTTTGACTGCAGGGTGTCCACCCACCATGCTGAAACTTTTTTTGGATCAATATTTTTCATTTATAATCATTCTTTTCATGTTCCAAACTTGCCCTTCGTGTGTTCACTTTTCACTCAAACAAAAAATTAAAGTTTTCAAAAAAAGTTGATTTTCTTTTATCTTTTTCACAAATTTTAAAATCTTATTTTTTATTATTATTTTTTCATATTCATTCTTTGAAACCCATTTTCCACCATTCCACAAACTCTTGTGACTTTAAGTTTTTGGGTTCCCTCTGTGGAGCTCAAAACAGATGGCTATAAACATCTGGGAGGAGACTGTACCATGCAAGCCAATTTTAAATAGGTAAATGTTTCATATCAAACCAATAGCAGACTCAAGCGCCGTGATCCGTTGAATTGTTTGATTAGACTCTGGAAAGTTTACAGCCCACGACTGCAATTCATACATTACATATCCCCTTTGGTGTTTGCTTTTTCCATATCTTACCGCACATTTCTCCTCCTTCCTCCCATAAGAACCATTTGAGGGACCAGGTGTGTTAACAATTTGTGGCCATTGGCAGAGATTATTCCAAGGTAAGCGTTTCTCATCTTTGGTACTGTGCATTCTTGATATGCAAGCCTTCAATATCAAACCAATGCCTTCTTCAACCCCACTTCACCAATGTTGATATAGGTCAGCTTGAACTCATTACTTGTCAAGCAGCCGCATTACAGGAGTGCATATACTTGGAGGGGGTGAGTGGTGTTATTTTTGAGTATTGCAGGTTGAATGAGTGTCACTGATTTCATATGTTGACTGATCCACCCTGTTTCTGAAGGAACAAGGCCAACCAAACAGGAGTGAACGATCAGATGAAGGCTTAGTTTCCATGTGTCTTCCTCATCATGCTCACAACCTTCCTGGCAAATTGAGCAATCGGTTGGATAGCCGTGCCCGTAGAAGAACTTCAACGTAGCGGCAAGGTGACACCCAATCTTTTCACAAACTTATCAAAGCCCGCGTCCCTGCTGTGGTGTGGGGAACTGTAGCCGCTTGTTGAGTGTGCAAGCACTAGGTACTCTCCCGCAGGGAGAGGACTTAGGAATAATGAGTGATCATGGCCCAACAGCATCTCCAAGCTTTGGTGGCGGAGGATGTTGTGAGCATTTGCAGACCTCAGTTTTGAACAAGTTTTTTTTTTCTTCTTCATAGTTTAAACTTTGTATTTTTCTTTACCAAACAGTCAATTCAGAACCTGACATATATATCCCATTCATGATTAAATAAATTCATGAAACTTTGAGTTTCTTGATTTTCCATGGCCACTTACTAGCAAAGCCATGGCTTTTTTTGGATGGCTTTATTTTTCTATCCTTTTTGCTTTTAATTCATTTAACATTTCTCTCTCCTCCCTCCCTCTCTCTCTCCCAACCCAACGTGTTCCTTGTTGACCGCCCATCTGATGAGATTCCAAGGAACTAGACAATTGTTTGACGTTTGACAATCGCATTGTCCCAATCACCTGGCTCACCGTTGGTTTGCGATTCCAAAGCGACTTGATCTTGTTCACTTTGCAATTCCGACCGCTTTCCAAAGAACTCAACAATCTTTCTACTTGCTTTTTTCCTTTCTTCCTGATCTTTTGCACTTTTTTTTTCTCGGTCAATCGGTCTCTCTCTTTTATCTCTCTCTCTCTCTAGATATGAGTAATTTTTTCACATTTTCATTTAATTTGGAGTTATGGCATTATACTTCAACGGCCAATTGGCAAATTAACATTTTAATGGACTGATAGACAAAACTTTAAAGGTCCGAGAAAATTACAAAAAATGACTGATTTCAAAAAAAGATAGAAAAAGTACAAACAGTGCCAGGGGGAAATTGAACAGACATGATTTTAGATAGGATGCTAGCGCTCAGCTGGGATAGGGTGGTGAGAGCAAGACATCAAACGGCAAATTTAAAACTAGAAAGAAAAAAAATGCTATGCTGATTTCCAAGTAGCTCTTGTGTGGGCTCCTCAATGTTGGTCATAAGCCTCGCTTGCACCTCACACCTACGGGTGCTTGCGGGCTTTGTTACACTTGATATTTTCACGCAAGCAGGGGTAGTGGCTCCTGCAGTCTCACATTTTGAGGCGCATTGCCAAGACCAACAGGTGGTTTTGTTGATCGTCCAAGGATCGGGGCTTGTATTTTTTCCCCACATGCCTTCAACTAACTGGCTAGCATACAACCAGCTGACACTTCAGGTCATCATACATATTGAGTTCAAAAATGAGGCTGGCCAACCCACAGGTGATACTCACACTTTTCAACCCCGTTCTTATAAGAAAATCAATGTACCCTTCCGCACAGAACTGAAAGTACAACTCATCTCAATGAAAGTCATAATAGAAGATTAATGTTTAATGAATACATACAAATTTTTATCCAACATTGTCCCCAACCAAACTCACGGCCCCACAAGGGACGCATACCCTTGTCTTTTTTCCTTTTATCATTATACATATATATATGATTGATCATTGATCAAGCCATCTCAACCCTGTTGGGTACATTTCTGGATCCCTTGAACCCATTGTAAATAGAGCTCAGATGCAACTCAGTGTGCTTCCTGTCCCCCATTTAATTTTTCTGCCTTGAGATAAACAAAGTGACCCTCCTGATTACCAGAGGATCACATTGAGATTTGCCTTTTCACCACCATCACCCGCAAGAGTTGAGTGTCTCTCTGGAAGCCAGAAGGAATCTAACAGAAATACAACAAAGTTATAGTTTCAAGTAGCCTCAGGCAAGAATTGAAACCTCAAATCTCAATGGTGATCAGATGAATTATTCGTTAACCCAATCACTTGAACACCCTGCAGTGGCGCCTCAGGCAAGCACCTTCTTAAGAGCTTTCTCAGCACCATCTTTTGCTAGGTTATGTTGGGATTGTTACCTGTTTTCCGTAAATTGCAAGTGCGCTGCGCGTGCGCTGGGTGTGTGTGTACCCCCCTTTGTGCGGGGGGGGGGGTGTCCGCGCTGCAGCCTATGTATCACCACTCACAGCACTTTCGTCTCAAGTTCAGACATCAAGCAAAAAACCTTACGTCCTCACCATCATGCCCAGCAAGCTCGACATCATCAACGACCGGTTCGAAGAGCTTCCGGAAGACCCAGAACCGAGCTCATCATCAACTACCCAGAAAGACTCGAGAGACTCGCTCGATCAGGAACCGGATCCGTTAGAGAAGCTTCTCCAAGAGGCAAACGCACTCAAAGAGCGTGGCAATACCGAGTTCCAGGAAAAACGATGGAAATCGGCCTTGGACATGTACTCTGATGCATTAGCCACCCTTCCCCTTCGACCGCTTCCCAAAAAAGTAACCTCATCAGACCCCCAGGATCCACTCAAGGATGAACTCTCAGATAACAATAATAATAATAATGATGATGATGATACGATTGATGACAGAAAAGATCCTCAGAGCGACGGCTCGGGCCATCATTCTGAATCAGAACCAATCATTCCAGAAGCTCTCAAGTCCTCCGACGACCCTCGGATCTCTCGTCTTCGATCGATTCTGAATGCCAATACAGCCGCATGTTATTTAAAATCGGTGGGTAAAAAGTCAGCCAATACAAGCCATCTTTCGCACTCTTGATGTCCTATTTCCACACCGATGTTGATTCCAATTCGAGTTTTTTTTTTTTTCACTCATGTAACCAATCATCGACCGGGGTTTTATGGACGTTAGGAAGACTGGCAATCTGCTGTTCAGGCCGCTGAAGCTTGTGAGTTCAGAGATTTTTTGATGATTCTGTGAAGAGATTGAGGTCTGACGAACTTTGAGCTCTACATATGTGTAGCTTTGAAAGACGATCCGAAATATGCTAAGGCACTCCATCGACGGGCACAAGCCAATGAGAAGATAGGCACCTGGGCTTCCCTCCAAGCATCCTTAGACGGTCAGAGCCTCATTTGTTTATCATGGTCTGCAATAAGCGTCGCTAATGAGAGACAACTCGCACATGTTTTTTTTTGTTTTGTTTTGCTTAGACTACAATGCGATCTCAAAACTACCCGATCTTCCTCCTACCTTATTGAAAGAAGTCAAAGCCAGTCAAACCCGACTTCCGCCTCGGATAGCCCAACGAGCCGAGGCGGATAAAACAGAGATGATGGCTAAGTTGAAAGATCTCGGGAATTCCGTCTTGGGGAAGTTTGGGATGTCTACTGACAATTTCAAATTCACTCCGGTACGTGTCTTGTTTCCTTATTCCCTTCTTCAGTTTTTTTTTTCTTGATCAATTCAACCAAATCTGGTCAACATTTTTTTTTTTTGGGATCGATCGATCAGAACGAATCCGGGGGTTATTCAATGTCGTTCCAGCAGTAACTCCAGACGCTCACATCCATTTCCGAAAAAGAACTGCTCTCAACTCACCCCAATTTCGTTCAACCCACTCTCTCAAAAATCACATGAATGTAAAATTTCCCAATGGAGTGTATCCAACAAAAAATTGAGTGAAAGAAAGAATTCCCATCAATTGATTTGATTTGACTCTCCTCAGTTAGAAGAATTGATGGGATGCTTATATTAGTTTCCTTTGGTAGAACGTCAAGCTAATCATAAATCAATGAAAGTGGAAGGGAGATATCATTCCTCAGATCCAATGATTTTTTTATGAGTAATCTAAACCTTTCAAACGGTCTGGTAGTGATGTCAAAAAGATATGAGTATGTCCACACAACATTGAAGGACCAGGAGATGTCTCCAAAATGAGTCATTTCTATGATCAAAATAGCCAAAGAAAATCGATCACATCATCGACCGGAACTGATCATTTTTATGAAATCAAAGTGGCTACTACAACTCGAGTTGAGAGTTCTAAACAGGAGCTTGCAGAAGATGGAGCCTCTCTGATGGTATACGGAAGCACATTGACCGCTCACAGCCGACCAGACTATTAGGAATGATGAGACATAAAGCCGGACCAAGATCATTTGAAAGCACTAGCTAGGAAAAAAACGAAAACACTGTGAACTGCATCGTCCTACTTGACTGGGGCTCAGCCAGCCAACCAGAGGAGACCAGATTTATTTATATATCTATATGGCTGCTTCGTTGGCCGGATCTGCAACGACCTCAACCCAAATCGACTTCTCGTCAGAAACATCAAAAATCGTGATCAAAGGAGTCACAAACGAGGATTTCCAAGTGAAAGAAAAAAAAAAAAAAAAAAAAAAAAAAAAAAAAAAAAAAAAAAAAAAAAAAAAAAAAAAAAAAAAAACTCAAGCATTGTCAGGGAACCGCACTCTTTGGAGTGTAGGGGGCCAAGAGCCACCATCCTGCAATACATACCCAGCATTTTTTATTTCATTTTTCTCAACACTGAAAGACTCTCCTCGAATTGCTAGGGTTTGCATGAGTCATCTCCGGCTCAAGAAGAAGAAGAAGAAGAAAAAAAGACATGGCATTGGAAAGCTGGGGATGTTTATACATTACTTGTCATACACACTGAAGCCGCTGCTGCTTCTTCACAAAAAAAAAAAAAAAGTAGGATGAGACATATAGAAAAGCAGTAAGTCAGGTGGTTGTAACTTGTGTTACTTGATTATGCTCTGGGGTTTTGATCTTGAACAAAGGTATGTTGGGCTATCTTAAGCAGCTCTTGAGCCAGGAATTCAGTGGTAATATATTATACAGACCTCTCATAAGAATCACTTGAGATTTTTTTTGTTAATCAGCAATCCACATATTTTTTATCTTTTTTATTTATGAAGTGAGTCCACTCATATAAATATAAGGTGAACGTTTTGAACTGGAACCGTTGAATCCTATGGTCTAAGAACCTACTGAAGCAAACCGCTGATCCATATAAGTAAGATCCCGAAGCAGAAAAAAAAACTAGGAAAATGGTTTTGAAAGAAAACCCAAAGGGACCTTACCTTATTCCTTACTGAATTCAATTCTAGCTCTGCATGAGATGATTTTCAGTGCAGCGTCATTCCTTTTTGCTTGGACTGACTGGACTAGAGCTGGTTGTCTTCGGGGCGGGACCATTGCCATCTTCTTGTTTATTCGGTAGGCCCGAAGCTTTGGTTTCTTCTTCAGCCATGGTTCCGTCCAATCCACGTGTTTGTACTCGGCCCGCATCCGCCATAACTTCGCGGTCCATGGCCTTCTTAGCAGCTGCACCCGTGTCCGCCTCCACAGTCGCTTCCGCGCCAGATTCCGAACCAATCGACGCCTGACGAGCCAACCGTTCCCGAAGGACACCTTGATAAAGATCCGCCTCCATCCAAGTGGTGATCGAATTGTCCAGCAAGATTGACTGGTCAGGAATACAGTCCCCGCCCATCACGCGCTCCAGAAGTTGGAGGTTATGGGGCACCGGAGTGCGGATCTGGTCGAAGTGACTGACAATGGCCTCTGCCTCCCGCTTTCCGAATAATTGCGACGCGCAAAACGAGGCCGCGTTTCCGTATTGTTCGTCATATAAACTCTTAAACCTGTCCTGTAAATGTTGCACAAGGTCCGCCGCCAAGTCCGGGTCGAGCGAACATGTGCCAACCGGCATTTGGGGCTTCTTCTTCCGCTTCTTGATCACGATCGATTCGTCTTTCGCGACTCTCAACGGGTCCTGGAGGATCTCGTCAAAGTTATCTACGCTCATCTGTTGGACCAGATTGAGGATGGCCTGCGCGCCCTCTGGCGCACAATTTGAACACTGGCATGCAGGAAGCTCGGCCTGAATCTCTTTTTCGCGTTCGGCTTGGAATACTGGATCGGTATCAGATAATGGAATGTAACCAAACCTACATAGAAATAAGTTAAAGGGTCAGTTGATCAGTAGTATCAAATTTTGAAATGAAACCCAGGACTCAACTGGCTATCCACGCTGAGCGCGACTCTCAAACAGACAGGGGTGATTGCGAAAGCATCCATCCTGTCATCATCCGACTGCAATTGCTTCAAGTTAGGATCAAACTCGTCCAGCGAATTCTTCCCCTCTTTTCTTTTGGGCTCCATGAATAAGAGAGCCAACCCGGGGTTCCCATCGAGTGCACAGTTGCCGACCATCTGGACGATTGCAGATGGGTCTCCTCGGCCCATGTGAATCACGCAGCGGACCCGCTTGACGTTTTGGGTGAGGCCCAAGGCCATGCTTGCGGACAAGACCGGTACTCTTCCTTGGGCGAAGTCGGTTATGTTTTTCAGTTTGTCCATCTGGCCAGTGACTGAATGGAATCGACGGATGAACTCGCTATCGGGGTCGTATTCATGTCCCTTTGTACTACGTGCCTCGTTGACGACCTTCATCACCTGGAACGTTGCGTCCAATGTGCCAGAGTAAATGATCGTAGGCACGGTCTTGATGGCTGGGACTTTGGTACGTGGGGCGTATATCCTCAGGAGATCGTCGCAGGACTTCAAGGAGGACTGCATCGGGATCCGGAGCAGACGAATTTCCGGACGCGTGAGTTTGCCAGTGATCATGGTGATCTCTCGAGGGCGTAGGGTGAGATTAAAGCGGATCGAATCCCGCACTGCTGGTCGACACGTAGTGGACATCAACAGAAGCGGCACGCCCGGTATTTCCGTCAATCTTTCGGACATGCTTGCATAGAAAGGCCGGCTTCTCGAGCGGTCTTCGTGTCGTTTGAAGGTGTTCAACAGTTTGTCTTGCTTCGATGCGACCAGACTCCACCAGTACATCAGTTCGGCCTCCTCAACAACTATCAATGAAAGTAGGTTTTGAAACTCGGAGCTGGAAAACATCTCTTCAAACAATGAGTTGTTAAGGAATACTTCTGGGCTCTACATATCCTCAGGGGAACGAAAAAAAAACGAATGTGAGATCTTGCCAACTATGTAGTCTGGGTTATACATATATGTATGCCACCGACTTACGAGGTAGACAAAGCTGAAACAGCCCTCCTTGATCTGCTTGACCGTCTCATGGTTGAAGGTCATTAGAGTCAGGTTGATTGCGGTTATATTAAGTAGTTTTTTCTCCTTGACCTGCAGAATAGCCCCCCAAGTGCAATAATTTTTTTGAGTTGACCGTGCCAAATTTGGAAACAACTTTAGAGGAGGAGCGGTCATGAAGAGCTCACCTGCTCGTCACCCAAGCAATCCAAGCGATTCAAGACCAAAACGAGGGCCTTATCGTCGTACAAGCTGAAAAAGATCTCCGGGATCCGGTTCTTCCAGAACCCAGGGGCGGCATGGACGAAGGCTTTCTTGGCACGAACAAGCGCCGAGACGGCTTCTACTTGGAACGCTTCTGGGCGATCGTGATGCAGATCGAGCGAGCTTGAGATGATCGATTCCGCCAGCTCGTCGTCGGTCGAATCTAGTAGCGTTCTGGGCAACCTCGCCCTGTAAATCGGTTTGTATTCCATACTTGATGGTTCCTCCCAGAATCTTATGTGGGAGATCCAACACAGTTGTCCTGAATCGGAAGATTTGGAGGGTGTATGTATTGCTTTTTTTTTTGCCGGTGATACCGTATGTAAGCCAAGTTTCATGCTTGTGAAGGCGAGTAAGCCAAGTGAAAGAACAATCACAGCAGATGGGCAAGACAAGGCACTCATCCCCCAGGGCATTTTTTTTTTTTTTTTTTTTTTTTTTTTTTTTTTTTTTTTTTTAGTGCTTATTGATTTGACATTGCGCACCATAGTGAATACTAGTGTCTATATACATACGTATGGAGGCACTGGTGTGCCAAATGTGCCAAAAAAATCAATAAATGAAAACCCATTTTTTGAACAAATCAACCGACCAAGCTACCCAAACAAGCACTGAAACATCCCTGGATAATGATGCACTTCCCTGCAGCCCCCTTTGACGGGCATCCATATTCTGCTTATGCTTCCCTACACAGTATGTATAGCAGAAACCAGGTAATTGAAGGTCGATACCGTGGCCCCGACGGCAGCAACCTGAGAGCTAAGAACCTCGTCTGATGTGTTCCTTCAAAGCTAGCGCCAGAGCCGATGATGTTGCAAGGCTTGTTGGCCTTCTCGATCTTGCTGAGTCCCAGAGAGATCTTACCGGTCCCAACGTCGGCAATCGCGGCCCGGTACCCTTGGAGCCAAAAAAGATGTTTGTCTCAAGCACTATGTAGTCCTTCACCTCAGCATTCTTCCAGTGCCCCTCAAGTATCCCTTGGTATTTGGAGGATACATTTGCCATCCGGGCCGTCATCCCATTCGGTTTGACTGCTAGGACCACCCTCTGCGTTATATGTAATGGCTGTTTTGTCTTGGTACCATGTTTGGCATCCCTATGCAATTGAATACAGCCTGGCCAGTATGCACATGTCAGAGGTATGTATTTCAAAAGATTGGTTGTGAAAATGTGATTTTGATTTTTCCTTGGCTCGTTTGGCACTTCAGAGGCATCAAAATGTGTTTTTTAATTTTTTTGGCTCGTTTGGCATGTCAGTGCCTCCATACATACGATGACGTTTTGAAAAAGAAATACATGATAGAATATTTTTGAAAAATATTTATAACCTTGAGTGTTGATGAAAATAACTTTTAATGAAAAAAAGAGAAAAAGAGAAAAAAACCGCGCCCAAAAAAAAGAATAATCATGAAAAAATCCGCCTCTTTTATCGAGACCAAACCCCTCATATGAAGCCGAGTCCGACCATCTTTCGTCACGACTGCGGCCCAGACAGCGTGTTATGAGGTTGCTCAAGCCTCATACCCTGGATTAAAGCGGGCAGAAAGATAATCGAACTCGACCTAAATTTAGGATTCAGCCCGATTACCCTACCGAAAAACAATGGTTATGAAAAATAACTTGTGAGTAAAAATAGCTTTTTATTTTTTTAAAAGAGAGAGAAAAAAGAAATCATCGAAGAAAAAGATAGAGAAAAAAAAAGAAAAGGAAAAAACCCGCAACACTAAGAGTTTTTTTTTTTTTAAACTTCTTCTGTATAGATCTTGATGCTTTTAAATCGTTTGGTATCGAGGATGAATTTTGAAAGGAGATCGAAAACTGAAGGATTGTCGAGTAAGTCTTTCAATGAATTTGGATTAATCTTGATTTTGTTCGAAATTAGTCTTGATCTGAAATTTTTCCTTTGTTGATTGAATCTTCTACATTCGATAAGAAAGTGTTTGACGGTTTCTGGAGATCGACAATGACTACAGTCTGGCGAGTCGATTTTATCGATATGGAAGAGAAAGTCGTTAAGAGGTGAATGACCCGATCGTAGCTGATAAATTGTCGAAGAAAGTCCGCGTTCGAGTCGATTTAGCAAATTAAAAATCTTGATAGGTATGTTGGATAAGGAGATATGATTGCGAATGATAGGATCCTTTTTTTTGACGAAACTGAATTTTGAATTGATGATTTGTTGAATATTGGAAAGTGTTCTAGATTGTTGTTCGAGGTCGAAAAGAGTGTTTCCTTCTGTGGCTTCTTTGGCGAGTTGATCGACTTTCTCATTTTCTGGAATGCCGACATGTGCCGGACACCATAGGAGCGAAATCGAAAAATGGAAATCGGTGATGAGGATATTCAACTTGTCGAAGATTTGAATAAAGGTAGACTGATTTGATTTTGACAGAGGTGGATTGGCGATAACTTGAAGAGTGGCTTGGTTATCCGAAAAGATGTTGACATTGTTGAATGGTGGTAAGTTGTTCTTCTCGGCTTCATTACTGATGATATCGAGACCAATATTGATAGCCTGGACCTCAGCTTCATAAGCCGAAGCTTTCTCTGCATCATTGATTCTACAGGCAAAGGAGATTGAATTATTGAGTAAAGCCGCTGAAGCTGTTCCTTTATCTGGAATATTAGAACCATCCGAAAAAAGAAGGATCTCTTTTTTAACTTTTTTGTCAGAAATTTGGTTAGTCACAATCTCTTTAGCTTTTTCTTTCTTAATGTTCAAATTGTTAACATCAAGAGAAAAGTTGGACCACGGCGGAACAACATGAAACTTGATTATTTCTAGAGATTGAAGGTCGTATTCTGGGAGAAGGTGATTGTCGAGAAGATTGTGGATTGAGGATAGATGAGATCGAGGTAAATTGTTGATTTCGTGATTGATGAGTTGTTTGATTGGATGGTCGTTAGTGGCTGTTAATTTTTTACTGACATACAAATGATTTTTCTTTTTTAATACATCAAAAAAAGGAATAAGAGGTGAGTCCCTATTAAGAAAATTACATGGAGTGGTTCTAAAAACACCGAGAATAATTCTGTTAGCTTGATTATTAATTTTACTGATAACATTTTTAACTGCTGATTCATTCCTTTTAGAAGCCCAGATACAACTTCCGTAAAGAATTCTAGAACGAAGAACACTAATAATCAAATTTTTTGATTGCTGTAAGCCCAAACCAAAAGAACACCGAGAAATACGATTAAGTTGACCAATCGAGCTGATACCACATTTTTTAACCTTATCTAAATGAAGTTTGAAGGAGAGTTGGGGATCCAGAATGATGCCGAGGTATTTGACGGAATCGGACTTTGGCATGCGAACATCACCAAGTCGGAAAGGACGAACATCAACCTTTTTGTGAGTAAAAATCATGAAATTAGCTTTCTTTTTGTCGAAGATTGCATTATTTCTTTTTCCCCATTCCAACGAACGATCACCTTCACTTTCTAGTGAAGAAATAGCTCTCTCAAGATGTTTATCAGCTACAAAATGTGTAACGTCATCAATAAATCCCAACGAAATCTTGTCTTGAAGTAAGCCGAGGGGGTTACTAATTAAAAGATTTGAATTGTAGATGATGTAAAGGATAGGGGAAAGGGGAGAGCCTTGAGGAAGTCCGCATTTTAAGTCGAAGGAGGGGGAAAGATAACCGTCCATGCGGAGTGAGGTAGATCGATTAGAAAGAATGGACTGGACGATTGCCCCAAGGTAAGAAGGAATGTTTTTGTTAATCAGGGTATCAATTAACCTATCTTTGATGACTGAGGGGTAGGCAGATTTTACGTCCAGAAAAAGAGCTGAAACAATTTTTCTCTCTCTCCATTTTTGACGGATCCATGAAGATAAAAATAGGTTAGCATCATCTGTACAACGGTTTGCCCTGCCACCAAAGTGGCCGTGAGCAATAACATTGTTATTTTCAGCCCAGTAAGTAATCCTCTTAGTCAAGAGACTTTCGAAGATTTTTCCTAAACATGAAAGTAAAGCGATTGGACGATATGATCCAGGGTTAGCATATGAATCCTTATCAGCTTTTCGAATAATGACCGTGATCGCATGTCTCCATCGGCTAGGAAAATAGCCCAAGCGAAGACATGCTGAAAAAAGTTTGATAAGATAAGGTATGACAATATTTTTACTCCAAATAAGAACTTCATTAGCGATTTCATCATGGCCACTTGCTTTCTTTTTAGGAAGGTGGGACATAATTATATCGATCTCATGAAAAGAGATATCCGGGAATGGGAAAGGGTTAGAAAAGGATGGGGGAACGATGTCATCAAGAGTACAGTTAATAGGAACTTCGGAGGTGCCTTTAAAGAGGAGCCGAGCTTGCTCTTCCTTATCTGAGGTGAGATCATTATTTTCATTCAATAAGGGAGCGATGTTACCGTTGCTGATGGATTTAGTGAATTTATAAGCTTGAAAAATCTGATGGTCTTTACTCTCCGCCAGAAACTTCCTCCAGTGGTTACGTTTCAGCTCGAAAACCTTGTCTTTGAATTTCTTCTGCCAGAATTGATAACAGTCGGAGGCTTGAACCGAATGGGCGATCAGCATCCATTTCCGGGCTTGATTTCTTTTCTGGATGATCGGTGAGAGGATGTCTTTATCCCACCAGGCCTTGAATTTCGAAGTGTTGGAGTTAACTGTTTTTTTTTGACGGTCGATCAAATTTTGAAAAGAAATTGTGAGTTCATCAACAAACGAATCGATATCATCACTACAATCAAGAGAAACATCATTGAGTTTTTCCAAACACTGAGAAAGATCAAAACAAAATTTTTCAGAATTTACATTTTTAAGGTCAACAGATAATCTAGTAACCGGAACCGAATGAGGATTGAAATTAAGATTAAGAACAATAGATTGGTGATCTGATCCAAAGTTAACCGACGAAGTACAACAGGATTCAATGAATTTAAACGCAGAAAAATTTCCCCAGGTAAGGTCGATAACTGTAGAGCTGGTTCTTCTATTCATGAATGTTGGCGTGCCCTTTTCTGACACAATCTTGAAACCGTGTCGACCACAGGAACGAACCAGATCTTTAGATTGTTGGTGGGTATGATTGTAGAGGGGGGGATTCCATGATCGATGATGAAGATTAGAATCCATGAAAATGAAAGAAGGGATACGGCGATCGTTGTGTTGATCCAACCAGTCGGAAAGAATCTTGATGCCTTCAAACGTTCTAGGAGGATTGTACAGATTGATAAGACGCAGTTTACGGATATTATCGTTATCAATGATTAGGTCGATAGCTGAAAGGATGCGATTTCCATCCTTAATGAGATGAATTTCTTCAGAAGCGAAAGATTTGTCGAGGAAGAAGCAGATGCGGTGTTTGTCGGAATAGTTTGCTGGTGAGTGATTAGAATCTAGAATGCAAGTCCAGTTCGAATAATGAGGCATTCTTAAAGTATGAGGATTGATCCACGGTTCTTGAAGGACGAGGATGGCAAACTGAGAATCGGAGTTGAGCGCGTTGGAGGTAACATCGAAGGAATTGTGACAATTCAACTGAAGAATCTTGAAAGGGATAATAGCTGGTTCGGGTGAAGTCGATGAAGTACCGGGATGAAGATTTTGGGAAAAGGAAAGGTTTGAAGATAATGGGTCGTAACTACTCATTGATTAATAATGTTACGGCGAAAATTCTTAGTTTTGAGAGGGCACTTAAGACTCATAGGAGAATGATTAAAGCGAACATTATCATCTTCTGGGACAAATGAAGGATTATTTTTTTTTTCGTACTGAATACATTTGATACAATTACTGTTATTGAAATCAGCTGTACATTCATTGGAATTATGAGCATCACCACAATGTTTACATAACGGAGAGTTTTTACAAAATTGAGCCGTATGGCCGACTTCAAGACACTGAAAGCATTGAATGGGACTCTTTTTATAATGGGCACCTGTAAGGCAAAGACTATTAAAAAAAAGACTGCCTCTCTCAATTTTTTTGGCAAGTTCCTTTTCACGGAAGTTAACGATCAAAGAACCATGGGACTTTTTGTTGGCTTGGGGGTTGCCCAACCAACGAGCACTGTCAATGTGAGCCGGGTGGATGTGATTTTCTTTACACAAGTCAGCAAGGGAGGATGGGTTGGTAGGAGTGAAAGAAATCGGGACAGAGTGGAGAATAACTGGGAAGGTAGACGGGGGAGTGATGAGAGTGGGGTCACAAAGATGAGTCCACTCATGTTTGTGTTCAAGGAGCCAATTGGCAAAGAACCGAGTTTGAGTAAAAAATTTAAAATCTCCCGACGGAAGACGGGCAACTCCTTTAATAGAAATCTCCGAGCCATCATCTGTTTTGGCTTCATTTTCTTTAAGGACCTTATTCACTTTAGCCGTAATGTCTGATGGGGACATTTGGAAAAAAGGACGTGAGTCTGGAACAGACTTGCGAATGACAAAAAAAGCAGATTTGAATTCATTAAGAATTCGATTGGAAGGAGGGGGACGAGTAACGATTTCTGGCGAGGTCGGTTTGGGGGGGATACCTTTTTTTGGGACTGGAGCCCATGATGAAGAGGGTTTGGAAGATGGATGAACGACGGAGTTGAGTGATCTCTCAAAAGAGTCCAAGCGAGCTGTGATCTTCTCTACCATTGATAGAGTTTGAACACTAGCGATCTTCTCTATTTCGAAGAGGGGAATTAAGGTATTAACCTTATCGGGTTGTATGTAGATACTACCATCAGGGTTGCGATTAGCGAGGACTTCCGCAATTGCTTTAAAAAAGCCATTCTCAGGATTGTGGCGGGATTTATTGAGAGGAGGGTTGTTAGAAAAGTCCGATTGGACCGGAGTGTGAGAACGGTCAACAGTAGACCCAGAGGAATCTATTTCCTCCATATCGATGTTCTTAGACCAACCATCCTGGTTGGCCCGGGAAACGTTATGATCTTTGGGAGGCATAGGAAGGCCTATGCGACCCGACTTATAAGGTTGAAACCTTGAGGTTTTGGGGGGATCGGAAAACTCAATTTTTAAAGAGGTCGGAAGGGAAGGGGATAAACAGGGATGGGAAAGGAAGATGTGATGATTACGAGATCGATGGGATAGAATAAGACTTAGAAGATACTTTTTAGGATTTTTTTTTTTTTTTTTGGGATTTGATGTTTGGATGAGTGGAAAAGGTGGTCGATTTTTGGTGGTTGATGATGAGTTTTTATCCCCCAGGGCATAACTGACGTCAGACCAGTAGGACTCTTTTGTTTTCCTCCCTAAATATCTCATCCCCATCACCATCAAGCCCAACTCAGTTTGGGGAGAGCAGCAAAAGACACCCCCAAACCGCAAGAAATGAACATTTAATGGCGCACAAAAAAATGGAACACTGGTGCCATCAACGCAGGGCAACTTGTGTGGAGTGTTCCCAGTGAATATCAAGTTATTGGATGAACGATTATTTAGAAGGTTGTCGGAATCTTAAGGGCTGGAAAGTAGACAAGCGAGGACTGGAGTGGTATGAGTTATACCGTTGGGCTGGCTTGCGCACACAATGTGAACGGACTATGGAAAGGGAAAAATCACAAACTGGAGTCAAGCCCGGGGCGGCTCGAGGGATGTGTGTCAAATGAGGGCCATCGACATTTCTTCACTTTTAATTGGGAGACGGGTTTGAAAAAGTTTATGAGGGGACACTTCAAATGAATCAGGCCGATGGAGAATTGTCTGCAGAGGGTTCATTCGGCAACTGGATGTTACAACACTGCTCACCTGGAACGGTGGCAAAAAAACTGTGTTGCAGGCAATGCCACTCGTTCGATTTCAAGTACTCCGAATGAAAAACACACACAAGAGGCTTGGGATTGGGTAATCTCTAATTGTCTTTCAAGAGTACTTCACAACGTGGCAGAGGGACAAAAAGGATGCGCAGTGAGAAGAGGAGAAGGGGGGGGATGCTGGTCGACAAGGGTTGACTGATTGCAAGGGCTCATACAACTCTCTCTGTTTGTGGGCGGCGTACAAGAACGGACAAAAAGTATTCCATGGGTATCTAAATAATGCAGGGGTGGATGATGATGAAGAATCGGAAGAGAGAAAGACTGGGGGCCTTAGACCACGAGGGATGCAACGGCCACTGAGATGAATCCAGTGATGAAGGCTGCGTTACCGGACATCGAAGTGGCACTCGAGGTCTATCAAAAATCGGAAAGCAGTTATGTCGGTCAGTACAAGGGGACGGGAAAAGAGGAATAGATGTGCCCTCTCTGACTGGTGGGTATAGCCCCGAGGAAGGTAGACTCACCGAGTTGTTGTCTCCGGTGGGTGGGGGAGTAGTGGCAGGGGGAGTCGAGGTCTTTCCGGTGTCACCCTTAGGGGGGGTGGTGTTGGTGTCATCGGTGGGGGGAGGGCCCGGCTTGCCATCCTTCTCAGAGGCTACAAGATGGTGACGGGTGAGCATTGGTGCTGGAATCTTCTAATTGGAAGGATAGGGTTCAGGCTCACGAGGGGGGGGAGTGGCGCCGGGGCACATGCAAGTACCGGTGCTCATGTCACCTTTGACCATCGGGGGGCCAGCAGGAGAGCCACTGCTGGCTGAGCCATCAGTTGAGCTAGGGTCCTTGGTGGCCGAAGAGTCCTTGGAGCCGTTCTTGGAGGCATCCTTGGATCCATCCTTAGAGCCATCCTTGGGGTTGGCACCGTCCTTGGTAGGCTTGGTGTTTGCCGGGGTGGTGGTGGTGTCCTTTGAGGCTTGCTTGTCAGAAGCTCCGAGACCGTCCTTGGATTGGTCCGCGGACCCAGTGGGAGCGGCGCTGGAGGAGTCAGGGGAAGGAGCTCCAACAGTCTATGAAGAGGGGGACACAAGCCGGAGGTAAGTCACAAGTATAGCCTGGAGAGCGTCTATCTGGTGGCCTTGTGCTTGAGACTTACGGTGGAAGTAGCACCCATGGTGAGAGGCATGTAGCTGCACAAGCCAACGACGGCGATCAAGAAAGTAGCGGAGTGCATCTTGGACAGTGGGATTGTATTATTGGGAAGGGGACTGGAAGTGTTGGAGGTGTAAGTTAAGGGAGTAAATGAGTGAGATGATACCGCACAGTTGGAAACGAATGGAAAGCGAGATGAGGAAGGACAGAGCAATAGCGGCCAGTATTTAAGCAGATTTCCCTTCGGAGTACTAGACACCCACCACCCTATTCTGAGCCAGGCATGGAGATACACCGCACAGCTGCAGAGGGTACACCTGGAGTTTTGCCGGGCATCATCTTCCTTGCTTCACCCTGAAGCTTTAGGGTCAGGCCCTGAAGTCTCTCTACATATTGCGATGATACAAGATACCCAGAAGATTCCGACTGCAATGGCGCCTCCCTTCCAAGTTCCACTGCCTTCATGTTATGTATCTGTATGTGCATTTTGTCCCTCAGATGGGCTGCATACTGGCGAGTTGTACACTAGCGACCAGATTCTTCGTCGCCAGACGAGACACTCAACAAGAACAATGGGCCGTGGGGAACAGTGTGGCACACCTGTGTGCGTGCCACTGACGTTCTATGTAGTAAACTTAGGCTTCGGCTGATCTTGATCTCTATGTACCGTCCCTTCTTCTGTTGGACAACACATCCAGAAAATCGTTGCATCCCAATCACTCGGAATCTGTTCAAGGAGCCGAAACTCAGGGCATGTTACTAGGCTTTTTCAAGAGAAACCCCGCCGACCCTTGGTAACAAGCATCTGAAACTTGGCGGATAATTCGGACTCCTCGGAGGTTGCTCTTGGCGACTGATCATGGGGACTCGGGAGGCAAGATAAAATGTATCTTACAAACATATTCATAAACATGTACGTCATTGTTGATTTGGTTGTACAATTTCGTACAAGATGCGAAAATGCAAGATCATCTCAAAGCTTAACTCGCTACAATGAATTTCTTCGTAATTTTATCGAAAAAACACTCTGCAACCTTCCACGTAAAGATGTATACGGAAGCCCAGGGGGGACACGCATCAGCTCATGACATTTTTCAATTTTCAATTTTCAATTTTCGAGTTTACATTATACAGTTGGCCTGTATTCTGAATGTATTTCTGAATACTTCCAAGTTTCAGAATCCCCGCTCCATCCATCAAGTTTCTGATGGTAAAGCTCAAACATGTAACACTACTTGACTACTTGCCATCGGTCATCGTGCCAGGTCACAAACCACAAACAGCTGGTAATGTAACACCAAAAGTGACCCCCTTGACATGGTCCACCCATTCTACAAACGATCTACTTACAGATCATTTCCAATACTCACTGAGCTGAAGTTCGGAGAAGCAGAACCACAAGTTGGCCTTATGGGTCTATCACCTCCCTGCTCAGGACAACTCATTCAGGATAAAAACCAAGCACTTTTACCTAGTGGGTTGTAAGTCATTCACTCCAGCGATTCCAACTGGCACCTCTCCACTATGCCTACGTGCAACAGGTGCACCAAGTTCTTTAATCAGCTGCAGTTTGGCTGGTGCTTTGAATGTCTCGGGTCCCATGTGGCTATTAATCCAGAGAATCGACCCAACAACTTTCATGCTCCTCCTTCCAACATATACAATGTTGTGCCACCCGCTCCGCCATGGACTCCTTCCCAGCCAGTTCCATCCACTCAGGCCTCATCACAAGTGTTGCAAGTACCAATCCACGCATCACAGCCCATATCGCACCCTGCTGCTCTAGTTGCACCAACCCCTCCCAATCCTGCATGCGCGGGATCCAATGCCTATTTCCGGGGTGCTGTAAAAGAAAAGCGTCGCAAGAATGCGGCACCTACACCCTATGCTAGAAAGAGCAAGGCAACATCGCAGGCCAGTACTGAAGAAGAGCATACCCGTATCATAAGTGGGGGGAATAGCTCTCTACCAGTCGACCAAGCTCAATAAGAATACTGGAATTCGCAGTCGCATGCTTCCAGTCAACATTGATTCACCGAACTTGTATGAAGATCTTCAACGGCGCCTATGGGATTTGTTATCCCCCGAGCTCTTGAGTAGACAGCTGGTTGAAATGCTTCCCGAGAATCCACTCCAGTACACCTCTTTGAGCCATAACCAAAATGTGCTTGACCTTCCAACCCTCTTACTACTGGTGAAAAAGTCGACGGTGAAGAGACCAGCTCATATCGATCTCACTTATGAAGACCCCACCGATGAACTTCCAACTAGTATCAATACAAGTACTTCAACCTCTAGAACTACCCGGATCACTCGTACACGTGCAACTCCTCACAATCCAAAAGATCTAGCTTCTGTGAATCTGACTTCGGTAGCCAGCAACGACACATGGGCACTAGGTGGTACTGCAGGTAAGATTCTTTCTTTAAAATCGCATAAAAGAGTATGCTCACTCATGTCAAAATTCAATCTGGTATAGGAACTATCCTGGCCCGTGGAGATGCAAGCCTATCCACCCACTTGAATTACCTTGGAAAACCCCTCGCCGCATCCATCAACATCAACCCCGAGGGTTGGGTTGTTGCCCAAAGGTTGAATTTCAACCGTAGTGACAGCAATTATGTAAGGAATCGGGCATCTCATGTCTACCAGTACCTTCAAGCAACTACAGTTCCAATCACGATCAAAGTCGACAAATCCTCACTGGTCGGCCAGGGTAGCATGCGCAAAGCCTATTCAGCCCAAGTTAGGACCGAGGCTCAGCATGGACAACAACGTATCACTAATTGGGTAGCTAAAGTTCGATATCATGACACTATTCCTGATTTGAGGAAACATGCGACAGATGCTCGAATGTACGAGGCCTGTGGACACCTACTTCGAGCTTACCAAGAAGCAATCAAGAATTCCAATAGTTCACTGCTCACTTCAGTCCTTCGAAAGAAGGCCAATGCTTTTGAAGTTTGTACTTTATTTGAACTTCAATCCCCCTTCTAGTCATCTGGTCACCCTTCTGCACTCCTCCACAGCTGATGATCTGATTGGTTTTTTCAGCTTGTTCGACACTGCATTGTATTTGTGGGCGAGGAAAGCTTCCCCTCAGAAGTATATTTCTTAGAGGCCGCTCTCTCCGGCAGCTATGTGAAGTACTCAAGCAATGTGAACTTTGCAGTCACATCCAATCAACCTGGATTGGACATCGATAACTTAATGCTCATGTCAGCGTTTACACACTGGTCATATGTAAACTCCAAAGGGAATAGTCTTATATGTGATCTTCAAGGTGCTGGTTCGATCATCACTGATCCTCAAATACTGGATCGAGATAATGGGTAAGTGCTAACTCTTTTGCATGCCTGTTTACAAATGACCCATATTCATTTATGACTTTTTTAAAGCCGTTGGGCCGATGGTAACAATGCCTCAGAAGGCATCAAACAATTTGTCGACAATCACCGATGCAACAAGGTTTGTGAGGCCTTAAAATTTCAGCCTCCAGATCAACTGGTTCCAGTCTCAAGCAGCCAAACCGAAATCAGGAACTCGGCAACTCAACTCCGGACTGTCATGAGGCCTGGACCAGCTCGGTTGGCTTCAGTCCCTAATAGATCCTTACCTCACCGAGCGTCCTTAGCAGATTTATTACATTCTGACAATACCCGTCCCACCGGTGATTTTTTCAACTCTCAGGTAAGGGAGGATGAAGATGTAAATGAACCCCTTCCCGAGGTGCATACGTTTTTACCACCCATGAATCGCCCTAGAGCAGACAATTACACCCAGAATACATGCACCAGTTAGCCGACAAAATACTCCAAAATTTTTTCAAACAAATGTTTTTAGATTCCTGCACATGTTGGTTGGGAACATCTTTTGTATCTGCTCTTTTCTCTCACATGACTATCATTAATAACATCACACTCTTTAAAGATCTTCATGCGGAAATTTCGATTTCGACCATGTTAACATAAGTGAGAAGGGATGTTGGGTTGGATTGATGAGGAGGATCACCTGGTAAATCAAAGGCTCAATTTTGAAGATGTGACCGAAACCTATGCCTTCTTGGCTGGTGAGGCCAGCAGGCTTCTTGCATGATTGATTACCTTTTGCTTTTGCTTTGTGGTTCTCTTTGATCTGATGCTACCATCTTCGTGGGATTGCTCCTCATCCTCCTCCTCCTCAGTACAAGATTGAGGTAATAACAAGGTGAAGTCAATAGCAGGATAGAGATGCCAACAAGATCGAGTCAACAACAAGATAAGATAGAGTAAATAACAAGATTGAAGGTTGATGTTTTTCAAAGGGAAGTCAAGTTGAATTTGGAAAACGAAGTGAAGATGATTTAGGAAGGGCGAGTGAAGATGATTGATTTGGGCAAAAAAAATGGATATCAACTTGGAGGAATGAACTTCAGAACTTGAACGATCAGTGGTCTTGTCAACCTGGGGCTTTTCTTTGTTGGTGAGTGCCCCCACCAGATCCCCTTTTTGCTGCTGACCGAGCTTAATACTCACACATCTTTCTTCTCCTCATCCTACAACCAGCCAACAACGTGGTACCCCCTCCACCACCTCCTAGTATCCCCTAGTTCCCCCCACGATCCAGTGATCACGCGATCTCGTCGATATAGGCCTTTTTTGTTGGTGAGTGCCCCCACCAGATGCCGATTTCCCTCACCTTCTGATGTCAGAAGTAATTCAACCTGTCCCCCCTCATTCTTCTGCTCAAGCTACACCCAGCAAACACCGAGGGCCCTCCTCCACCACCTCCAAGCCTCCCCCAGCAGCCCCCTGGCCCGAACGATTGAGCGAACAATCGAGAGCAAAGGATTGAGCGATCTCGTCGATCTGGGGCTGTTTTTTCGTTGGTGAGTCCCCCCACCTCATCCCCATTAGCTGCCCACTTGGGCCTGCTGCTGACCGACCCTAATCAGCCCCTGCTCCCTCTCTCTTCTCCTGATTTGACGATCAGAAAACAATAGCCGACCACCTCCACCACCTCCCAGCCTCCCCCCCCTTGTTCAATCGTCCGAGCGAACAATCGATCCCCGCTGAGCGAACCATCAATCGCGGCCGATCGGACAATCTCGTTGGCGTGCTTGTTTTTTTTGTTGGTGAGTGCCTCCACCCCATCCCCATTTGCCTCAACTGCTGCTGACAGACCCCCTCTTTCTTCTCCTCAGCCTACGAACTGCAAACAACCCGGTACCCCCTGCTCCGCCTCCCCCAGCCCCCCTGCCCAATCGATCAATTAAGCAAGCGATCGATAACAAAGGATTGAGCGATCTCGTCGATCTGGGGCTGTTTTTTCGTTGGTGGGTGCCCCCACCACATCCCCATTTCCCTCACCTGCTACTGACTGAAACTAGTCAGCGCCTTAACAGTCCCACTTCTCGCCGACAACCTGCAAACGCCCAGGTACCCCCTCCACCACCTCCCAGCGAATCAAGCGAAATCGTCGACCTGGCGCTTCTTTTCTTTGGTGAGTGCCCCACCACATCCCCATTACCCCCACCTTCTGATGTCAGACCTTATTCATCCCCTCCCCCCTCTTGCTTCTGCTCAGGCTACAACCAGCAAACACTCAGGCCCCTCCTCCCCCAGCAGCCCCCTGGCCTGAAAAATCGAGCGAACCATCGAGAGCGAAGGATCGACAGATCTCGTGGACCTGGGGCTATTTTTTGTTGGTGAGTGCCCCCACCAGATGCCAATTACCCTCACCTTCTGATGACAGACATTAATCAACCCCTCCCCCCACTATCTTCTGCTCAGCCTACATCCTGGAAAGACCCAGGCACCTCACCAAACGGCCGCCCCCAGCCGCCCCCCTCAACCGATCGATCAAGCGAACGATCAAGCGATCTTGTCAACCTGGGGCTTCTTCTCATTGGTAAGTACCCCCACCACATGTCCATTTCCCTCACCTGCTGCTGACAGACGTGGATCAACCCTTTCTTGTCCTCAGCCTACAACCAGTAGACAACAGCACACCTGCTCAACCACGTCCAAGCCTCCCCCAGCCCCGCTGCTCGATTGATAGCGAAGCACCCACCCGATTTGTTAGGGTTTTAAAAAAAGAAGACCTCAACTGAAACTAAACAATGAAGGAAATTCGCACTCAGATCGAGAAAAACAAGTCTGGCTTTGTGACTCTGAAGGCGGAAAATGAAGAGGACATGTGGCATGCCTATAACTTAGTCACCGTGGTTCGTTTCTGCTCTCATTGAATATACCATGGAATTGATCTTTGACATGGTGATTGCTTGACAACATCTAGGGTGATGAAGTCACATCCATTGCCGTGCAGAAGATGGTAGACGAAACAAATTCAGCAACTGGTTCCGAGGATTCACATCAAGTCAAATTGAACTTGACGATAGAAGTGAAGAAGGTGAACTATTCGGGGGTTGAGATCCCCTCGTCGGGTGACTGGAACAAGAAGGGGCCTTCTTTAGCCAATCAGCCAACCAGGACCTCTTTGTCGGGTGGCACCTCGTTACATCTCTCCGGCCCAATCTCCAAGCGGAACGAACATGTCAACCTGGGCACGTTCCACACCCTCGAGCTCGAGCACCAGTGCGAATTTACAATCATCAAGGGCCCAGATGGGTGGGACTCAGTGCATGTCCAACGTCTTGCCGACGCCACCAACACCTCCAAATCTGCTGAGGTGGCGGCCATCCTTGCTGACGATACCGGGCGAGCAACTGTGTGCTTGATCGGAACGCATACCAGCCTCATCAAACAACGCATCGAAGTCCCTCTCTCCAAAAATAAGAAACCCGGTCAGCCTGCCGATAAAACCCTCGATGAATTTCACAAACAGGTCTATAATTCGATCCTCAAACATTTCAATCTCTCGCACCTCCGAATGGTCATCATCGCTGGTCCTGGCAATACAAAGGACATTGTGTTTGAAGCAATTTTCACACAAGCAGTCGTAAGTCTTCTCATTTCCGTGTCCTCAAGAAAAAAGAATGCATGGTATCCACTCAATACTATTCCAATCTGACTGTTTGTGTTTTGTAACTCCATATAGAAAGCCAACAACCAAGCAATCATCACATCAAAATCAAAGTTCCAAAGGATCTATACCCCGACAATCCATCTGCAATCCCTAAACCAAATCTTGAGCACCCCTGCAATATTGAATCAGTTGAAAGACACAAAATACTCGCAAGAAATCCAGGCATTGAACATGTTCCAGAAGACGATGGCAGAAGATGTTCGGAGGGCATTGTATGGCGAGTGGCATGTTGATTGGGCGGCGGAACAAACTGCTATCAGCACTCTATTGATCTCAGATTCTTTATTCAGGTAGGCTTGATCTTCTTTTCCAGCAATTGTTATAGATCAGATGAGCAATCTAAGTGGTTTCTCATTTGTTTATCTTTTGGTAGGAACCCAGATCCGGAAAAACGTAAAAAGTTCATCAAGCTGACGGAAAGCGTTCAACAATTTGGGGGCAAAGTTTTGGTTTTTTCGAGCATGCATTCTACTGGTTCAAGTTAAGTGCACCACTTCATCTTCATTCTTGAAAACAAAAATAGTGTTGCCCCTAGATTTGCAATAAACAAGCAAGACTGGATGACTGATTTATGGAATGTTTCCCTCGGGCCATTATCTCACCCAACTTTAAAAATAGGATTGAACCAGTTGAGAGGAGTCGCCGCCATGTTGACATATCCTTTAGATGTCCCCGCCCCTGCAAATCAATTGACGTAAGACCAAGTTTTGACTTCATATACCCTTCCAGTGTCTTTCACCACTCGCTTTTCATCATCTTCCTCTCAGATCATTATAGCAAAGATGTCCAATCTACCCACATATGGGTTTATAATCCTTGATTTGTATGTCCTTCCTGGCAAGGGTATCAATCTCTTGATTATAATATGATAGGCTCCATCTGATTACATCCAATCTGCCCACATATGGGTTTCTAATCCTTGATTTGTATGTCCTTCCTGGTAAGGGTATCGATCTCTTGATTAGAATATGATTGATGATGCATTCGTTATATCAAACCCTCTTTCGATGATTGCCTATCCACCTGTTAGATGCAAACCCATATGGTTATATTCCATATCAGTCCTGTGTCTTGATACTAATCTGGGCTTCCGTAGTGTCTTGATACTAATCTGATTATCTATCTTTACCTCAATTGACCCCTTCCTCCATATATCATATGTCTTTGATTATTCATGCAGAGGACAGCAAATAGTTCGAAGGAATCAGAAGAACAAAAATGGAAAGAAACGTAAATTCAAAGCTGATGCTGAGTTGGCTGAGTTCACGACCAACCTCCACCCCGAAACTGCCACCATGAGACGGGAACACATCAAATTGGATCTCTACCCAAATTACCCACCTCTTGATGACACAAATGCGGGCCAGAGGGCAACCCATCCCACCCCAGCCGACTTCAAAGCTGCTGAAGAACGAATACTCAAAGATTTCACCTTAATCACTTACGGCCGACTTGCTCTGTATGAACGTCCTCGAAAATCCACCCCAAACACCAAACGGGAGGAATATTGCATCCCAGTCAAGAACTCTGTGGTTACAAATGAATCAACTGAGCTGGACCAACCGAACAATGAATCAACTGAGCAGGACCAACCCAAAAATGAATCAACTGAGCCGGACCAACCTGAAAATGAATCAACTAAGCCGGACCAACCCAAAAAGCCTAAATGTGCTTTCATTGCGTATATTCAGTTCACACCATCTGAGGAGCTCACTGAAGAGGACAAGCACGACCTCAACTCTATAACCACATTCCTACATAACTCTCGAGGCTTTGTCAAACCTGTCAACCTCCTTCGCAAAATCTTTCGCGGCCGGATGTGGACGATTGGCTGGCGCAAGTCGCAAACTACTGGTGAAATGGCTGGGAGATATGTTGATACAGACGGTATCACCAAAAAACCCCTCGCCTATCTAGAAAATCTCATTAACGGCATTTCTGCAAGTGATTTAATACACAAGCTGTTTTATTCCATCTCAGATGCCGCTGTGGATGCAGCAAACGTGCTACTTACATCCTTAGGCCTTCCAGGCTACTGTGATCCCAACTTGAAGCGATCAACATCTAATTGCTTTGCCTCCAACCTGGCTTTTACTCGAGATGAATTTTCCAACCGACCCCACTGCGACAGCGATAAGACAAAAACAGCCTTTTTGTTACTTTCAAATGTCAACAAAGCTAATGGTTTGATAGCCCTCACTAGTCATCAAGATCCTACCTTCACCGGACCTTTTTTTGTTTTTCCTCATCACAGAGTGGCCATTGACTTACGTAAATTGAACGGCATCTGCCGGGTGGTATTTGATGCTGGTAAATTTGAACATTGTACTCACAATGCTCAACCAACTCATCCAAGCCTCACTTCATTTGGCTTCTCTCTTCAAATCACCAAAACATGTGTTGAAGCATTTCAACGCATATTTAGTGGTTTTTATAACAACAAAAAAACCAAGGATGGTACAGATTATTACATTGGTGATCACAATCACATCTACAGCAAAGTCTATAAGCTAATCAAAAATGTGTTTTGATTTTTTTTTGTTACTGCAATTTAACATTTACTCCTCATGATTTGTCCAGTTGTTTTAGCAGCTTAGAGATAGAAACCATAAATGCCAAATATGATTTCTAAATTCTTTCACATCTATGCTTTTATTATATGACCGTAATTTCACCTCAAGTAATACAACTATCTCTCATTTTATAACATTGGTGTTCATGCCTCAAGACAGTTTGCACCTTTTATATTCCTTGCTTATGATAACCCAAAATGAGGGAGGCATCTTTTGGACACATGCTAGTGTTTACCTGAATAAATCGAGTTGGAAACTATTAATCTAGTGTTGAATTCCAGGGAGTTAGCAGAAATCGACCCAGATGTGAACTGTGGAAAGTCTTCACTCTTGTTCTCACTATCATTAATCCTTCCAGCAAATCAAAAAAGCATACTGCTGACTACCAATATGAATGAAGCTTAGAATTGATTATTATGATTCTAACAATGAGGTAAGGGGAATCTGGAAAACAATAATCAAGAAATGATGTAATAAATTTTATTAAGTTTTGGGTTGCCTCATATACTACTTGATGACATCTTTGGATGATCCTCACATCCATATTATTCAGGGCCTTCAATATCCTGATCACCATCAGAATCTTCAGAATCATAGTCAGATTCTTCATCATCTGGTGAAGGGGGAATCTCTAGGAGGTCAACTGGAGAAGGTGGATAGAGTGTGAAATGTGCTTGAATGTGTGGAATCATGTGGCCAAAAACATTCCACACGTTCCCTACAGTAATGTGGTCAAATCGGATGCCAAGTTGGGAGAGTAAGGCTGATGCAACATTGTGGAACCAAGGTGGGGTGTGGGTAAACATACTATCAATGTTGGGGTAATCGTTTGTTAAGTAGTTGTTTACTCGGTCAACATCAACAACCACAAGTTGATCTGTGGTGCCAAATGCCTCTGGTGTGCTATAGGAGAACTCGGGAGAGCAACCGGTCGGGAGACTTATGTTGTGGTCCTTTCGCTTACGAGAGTTGTTCGTGAGATCCACCCAGATATCCACACTTGCTTGGAATACTGGGATCCAGAGGAAAAGGAAGAGTAGCCTGTTGGGTTATATCAGCTAAGATCTCCTCATAATTCAAGTGAGTATACTTACTTTTGAATTGGATCTTCACGGTCATACACACCAGCCTCAATGTGACTCCAAATGTTGTCAATGATTGATCGGTTGTGCTGTTTCATCATCTGAGACCATAATGCTTCAATTTTTTGATTTCGGGTGGACTTGGTGTGATGCATCCGGTTCTTGGCTTCCTCAAGGGTGATTCCACCAAATTCATGAGAGAGCTTCATTTGATACCAGGACATATCTGGAGTCTCTGTACCATGGTCAGCAGTGACCTTCCGAGGGACTCCACCTACTTTTTGGACCAATTGGAGGAAGTACACTCCAATATGACGAGGATCATTATTTGTGACGTGGACGTGGAGGCCTAGAATTTTTCGAGACCAGGCATCAATGAACCCGTAGACCGTTATGCCGAACTTTTTCAATTTGTCGTGGCCATCACAAGCCCAAACGTGGTTTGGTCCATGGGTCCTGAAGATGCGACGCTTGCAGGTTTGTCGCAATCGGGCAGCCATGCCTTCTGGATCAATATGTTTGAGCGCATCATAGACCATTTGCCTGTACATAGAATGCTCAATTTCAATATGGATGGTTTGAAAAGTGCAAATGGACAACTCACCTGGGAATCTGAATTTTGTAGTTTCTCATGAGGATGGTTCTCATTCTCCTATAGCCAGCTTGGTCTTGTAGTAAGTAGTCTCGTGCATGTGCAACAGCTTCATACACTTCCACCATGGTCACCTTGCCATCCGCCACATCGTTCCGGAGGATTTTCACTTGTAGTTGGTTCATATAACGCTTGACAGTCCGTGAGCAGACACTAACACCGGTCTCATTCTTTAATCGAGCTTGTATTTCTTTTAAGTTGAGGCCTTTTGAGTGGGATGACAAGATGGATGCTCGGACCGTGGGATCAAGGAGTTTCGGGGGTTTTTGTGGAAGGTCGACTTGCCTAAGTGCCCAGGTCTGCCGTTTGCGAGTGAGGGTACTAGCTGACATAGATATGCCATGCTGTTCACGAAGGATTTGCAGAATCTTGGGTCCTTTGTGACCAGATGTTAAGAGACTTTGGACTATCGATTTCACCAGATCATCAGATGTGAGAGTGTTAGAGTTTGTGTGGTCTTCGATGGTGGATTGATCAGATTCATCAGGGATTGGGTCATCATCTGTACCAGATGTGTCGGGGTAATCAGATGTTAAGATATCCATTATGGTGATAGGATAGGATTGTTAGAGGGTGGATAGAACGAGGTCTTCAATTTTGAGCTGAATTGCGATTGGGTCTTGGGGGTAATCTCAATGTATTTTTCCATGTATTTAATTTGTGATTTGTTATTTCAATCCAGATGGATGACCGATGGCGAACAGGATCGACTCTCATACATGTTTGATCTTTCCCATTGGAAACATGATGGTTGGGAACTTGGGGTTCAAGATCTTGAAACGTGGAATGTTTCAGAATCCCATGGGCATACAGGCCAACTGTATTATGAAAACCCGACATTTGAAAATTGAAAATTGAAAAATGTCATGAGCCGATGCGTGTCCCCCCTGGGCTTCCGTAGATGTATGTATCTAACATCATGTTCCATCTTGCCAGCCACGCCTCCTCAGCTCGTGTAAGTTAGAAACAATTTGCCGATTGGCGTGCTTGGTTCAACTTCATGATTGAAATCTGCCGACTTGTCGCCAAATCATCCTGTGTCGACAGCCTTTTTGAACAAGAGGAGAAAAGAACTTGACGTACTTGAATATGTTGTACTTGGCAGTATTAACATGGAAAATGCTTTTGACAAGTCCTGAAAGTCCATTGCAGTGCTCGATGCACTGCTTGGCTTCGGGGCTCTTTTCTGGGAGAGGCTTTGTTAGACTCTTCGATGCACCCAGCCAGGGTACATAGACTCCTGTAAATATGCTTGCTTGTGGAAGTCATTTGTAAACTGGCTGCAGAATATAAGCAGAATTGTTTTGTCATGTGAATTGCAATCATCCAGACTCAGAGTGTGATACGCGATTCATTTCTAGCTTTGTCTTGACCCCTTTTACGTTTTCTTGAGGGGGGGGGGGGGGTAGCTCAAAGAAGTGAAAGAATGGAGAGTTGGTGATAAAAAAGGTCAAATGCATTTGCTTAACTAATCGGAGCAGACAAGTCGAGGGGAAGGCATTTTCAGCAGTCCACAATTAAAGGTAAGGAACCTCGTTTGGATGAATAGGTTCGATGGCTGAGTCAGGAGACTGTGAAGCGGGACAAGCGCTGAAGTTCACTGAAGAAAAACGCGCTTTTTTTTTCTTAAAAAATGTGAACAAATTGGCGTTGTTGATTTTTTATATTTCATCAGTGTCACCAAGTCCACCATACATACATTCCGGTGGCTTATCTAAATCGAGCTCCCTCCAATCAAACCAATCTCATTTGTTACTTCCCGACGGGTAAAAGTCTCTAAAGAGACACCTTGATCGTGCGTCCCGGGCCAACAAGAGGAAAAGTCCACGAGCTCGAAAGAAGGATAACCAAGAAAGATTTGTTGGGTCATCCTAAGTTCATTGATGGGCTCGTCCACCCTGGACGTAATCATTGAATATGAAGTGTGATCGTTTTTATTGACAATCTAAGTTTCGTGTAGATGGGGCGGGACCAAAAAACCATGATCCGGAGGAGATTGGACTAGAGACCCAGAAAGGTGATAGGTCTGACTCAAGAAACTCTAACATGGATCTATTTACCAATGTCTTGCTCTGATCCAGACCAATGTCATCTGTTGCTCAGGGGATTGCTGAGACTTGAAATGATGCCACCTCGGGTTATAAAATCCTGTTAAGCTCGAAGAAGGTGCCCGACCAGGAATTAAAATGGGCTCGGTATGAAATGATGCAAAAAATTAAGAAAAAGATAACACAAAGATTTATGAGGCGGATTAATTCTACAAAGGGTCACACGAATTTCCGAGTTTGAGAAACGAAAAGTCAGGTTAAGCGCGTTGGACGTTCCCTTTTGATACGCTTTCTTTCCTCATCAGCGGCCTCTCTGTCGGCCTCTTGTTGGGCTTCTTCCTCGAGTAAGCGTTGATCGAAGACCGGCTCGGGCATCGTCTTCTCCCATGCAGCCGTAAACTTCGGCCGCTCACCTTCGTGTTCCTGTGCGAACTTCAACAATGCCTCTCGAGGCTAAGAAAGGCACAAATGAAAAAAGGAAAACCAAGAGAAATGAAAGTTAACGGCTGTTATGTGTTTTTCTGTGATGAAGGATAAATGATTTGAATGAGTGACATACATCCTCATGTCTAATCGAATCCTTAACCAATCCTTGCACAACATGCTGTGTGGCACTAGCACCCACACGACCCCCGCGACCGGGTCCAGTCAAGGGCGGCATGGGTTTCAAAGTCTTGACAGGATCCTGTCTCTCTCGTTCGCGTCTCCTCTTACCGCCTCGACCCCCGGCCACGACTGGCTCGTCGTTCCTGAACATTGCCAGGGCGTGTGGGGTGATGATCGGCCGATCGACTGCGACGTCGTCTTCCCCTGGACCGCGGGTCCTGGCCGTTCGAGATAGGGAGAGTGTTGCTCCTCGGGTGGAAAGGCTGGGCGAATATAATACATTAATTGCCCCATCTGACGATCCAGTGATGATCTGGTTGATCTTTGGATGCCATAATACCCTAACCACATTAGCAGGTGATATGGCTGGGGAAAAAAAGAGAAAGCAGAGAAATTGTAGCAAGATTAGAGCACGATTTCAGCATTCAAAAATGTAAGCTGATGTGAGCTGACCGATTGTCCGGAATATCTCAAGATTGAGTTTATCCAATAAGACTACCCGACCACCCAATCCTTCAGATGGATTTGCACTGACTCCAGTCAAAATGTATTGGTTATCTGGACTAAAAGTCACATTAGTTTCTGGGTTCAAGGTAGTCATTCCTTCCCTAACAGCCAATGGAGTTTTCAGCGCCCGAACGTCCCATACTATTAGAATGATATATATGAGCCGCTGGTTGAGACGTTTTTGTTCGTGGATGGTGAGGATCAGGACGTATCACTTACGCTTCACTGTGTCATCGCCACCCCGGCTCACAAGGGTTTTGTTATCAGGGGCATAGTGGAGTGAGGATGTTTCGGTATTCTTGACGTGAGCTTTCTCAACCGCTGCATTGGGACGGGTAAAATTACTGTTGGTCGCCCAGATGTTTAATGTCCCATCCAAACCGGCTAGTAATCCAGTGAAAGAACATGAAGGTTAGAAAAAAGGCATCATGTGCCAGATTATGATTCCTCCTTACCTGCTGCAATCGATTTTCCATCGGAAGAATAGGTGCATGCAGTAATTTTGGTCCGAGTACCCCTTTCCTTTGATTTGAGTACGATCACGCCTTTCGATTTTCGTTTGTTTTCAACATCCCAAATTCTGTGAAGAAAAGGATTAATGATGGATCTGAGATATTTGTTTTGATGATCTCACCTGATAGTTGAGTCGGCCGAGGACGTGATAAAAGTCTTCGCGTCTTTCGGATGCCATGCACCTGATGTGAGCTCGGCAATGTGGCCACTTGCAAAAAAAAAGAGCGAAAAATTAAACAATCATTTAGATCTTTCTATTTCGCTGACAAAAGAGGTATATGAGCCTTACTAGCCAGGAGTTTAAGTATCAGGAATGAGAAAAATTGAGCCAACGCACGCGCAATGTCTCATGTCACGAATATACATATCTCCCTTCATGTATTCAGCAATTTGAGCGCCGTCTCTGTCGTAGATCTGGGGTTGATTGGCGGCTGTGATGACCAAGAAGGAATCGCCTGTGTTTGACCAGATAGCTTGATGCACCTGAGAGCTCCGGGAAGAGTGAATTTAGAACAGGAACCGAGAAGGAGTGATAGAGCGATTTAAATGACCAACTTGATGGCTTTGACGAGGCTCCCAACTCCGGAAAGGCTTGAAGGACGAATTCATTCCGCCAAAGTCCCATAGCTTGCAAGCGTAATCATACGAGCCTGAGACCAGTCGGGCTCCAGAGGGGTCCAAGGATAATGCCGAGACTGATTTTGAATGATCCTTTAAAAGTACTTCGTGAGTCGTTGGAAGCTGTACAGCCGGCTCATCTTCATCCTGTTTTTCCGAATCTGACTCTGACGTGGGACTGGAAGGACCTGCAACGCTGGCACACCGAGTTGCGTTTTTGCTCTGTTTTAAATCCACCTATTCCATAAAAATTTCAGGCCTTTTCTCAATATCAATTCGCTATATATCAATTTAGATAACAAAAATCGACGACTGACTACTGATTGACCACCTGGCCCGACGAGGGGATCATTCCGTTTGGTTTGTGAGATCTTATTCGAGATATCCGGTTTGGCCTGTATCTTTCCGAATTGTATTGGCAGTCCGAACTCGTCCATCCTTTGAGCTTTTCCGTCGATGTTGATGTTGATGCTGGTGTTGGTGTTGGTGTTGTGGTCGGTCTCCTTCAGATCCCCGGCCACAGCACTTTTGCCCCGTGTCAGTCACCCCGGAATTCACGCAGTTTTGTGACATGGCCTGTGACACCACGCATGCATCCCAAAAACACAGTGGGACTTCACATGAATGATGATGGTGCACCTATAATTTTGTGGTATGTATTGGGATGGTCATTTCAGCGGCTGGCAGCTTTTTTGAGCTCACTTCCTTGAAGGATCATGGGTTTATGCTTCAATAAATCCTTCAAGATTGTGGTCATGGTGGGTGCAGCAATGTATGCTGATGTTTTTGTTTTATAAACAGTGTGTCTGTGCTAGCACCGTTTTTTTAGTCCTGTTATGGAATAATGATACTCAGTTTTTGGAAATATCATGTTACATAAGTCCAGTTTTTTCTAGACCAATAATGATTGTCATTGGTCCATTCCAGCAAGATCTCAGCATGTCAATCCTGTCACACCAAGAAGAGTGATCATAGACATTTTCAAAAAGAAGCATAACAGTGCCTCTAACCTAGCAGCCTGGAATCCTTTTGTAGTGTTAAATTGTTGGGCTGAAGTGAAGTAACTCAACTGGCAAATATTTTGGCCCTGGTTTAATGCAATGTTGGAAAATCTTAAAGTTTATTTCAGTTGGCAGCAACTCTAATTACATGTCAACACCACTAACATAATGAGTTTGTGTTTTACAACAGCTGGAAATACATGGGATGTGGAAACTTGAGTTTGTCTCCTTTGACAGCAGATTTTTGCAGGGACCTGTCATAGAGCCAGAAAACTGGGTGTACCTGTTTGTTTGACCCATCCCAATTTCTTTTGGTGTTTCTTAGTGGGGTTCACAATAGTGTTTTGACTTATTGTGTCCGTTATTATTATATTTTTTTGCTTCCACATTGATGACATTATATCTCTCATCAAAAATTTAAAATTTCATGCTAAATTTTAGGTCTGAAGCAGTGCTGCAGCTTCTTGAACCCCACTATTTCAATTTTGTGAAAGACCTTGAACATAAACTTCACTCATTCCCTTGATTGGAGGTGGGGAATTGTTTGAAGGATGGCCACCCACAGAGCAATGCAGAGCCAGTTTGGATGTGCAAAGATTTGACTCTGAACAACTCCTGTTAGGCACAACCTAAAAATTTGAATTGACCAAGCTCTTCAACCTCTTGAAAATTGGATGTCTCAGCCCCTGTTTGTCATCAAATTTGGAGGTCCAATCTCATATTTTGGGAATTTTGGGAAGTGTGATCCTAAAAAAGCCCCTTGGGTAAATCTGTAATTTTCTTATTTGAGAGAAAAAGATTTTTACCATGGAAAAATTTCAACAAACTGCTGCCATTTAAGATGCCAAAACTCTCATGAAAATCTACATATAACTAAAAAAATGGCCTCAGAGGGCCAAACAAACCCAGTTCATTTCTAACGCCGGTGTCAACCTCCAATTCACATTTGTTGGATTTGTCAACGCTGGCGTTAGATTGAGGCAGACAGGTGTCCAACTCAAGAAAACCCCAAAGGTCATCAAGTAAAACCCCCAACATCCGGGGCAAACACAAGCTGCCTCCCCAAATTTTGGGGCATATCTACATATCTACATATAACTAAAGGAATAGCCTCAGAGGGCCAAACAAACCATCAGGCTTTCTAACCTCGGTGTCGACCCCCAATTCAGCTTTGTATTGATTTCGCATGCAGCTTCTAACGCCGACGTCAATGTTGGAGACTGAACTCGCTGCATTCACCCAGCAAGTGAAGGGCTGATGTGAATTGGGCCATCACTTTCAGATCCTTTGATTAATTGCTTTGATCCAATCTGAAACCATTCCGACCTTGCTGAGCCTCCCCAAACTTGATGAACCTTGGGCTTGTTGAGATGTCAAGCATCCTCTTGGCCTACAACCAATCACAACCCAGCCTCCCTGATTCAGATTGCTGTCAAAACCTATTTGAAAACAACTTTTTCTACAAAACATTTTTTTGTTTAAAAAAGCCAATAAGATCAACTAACATCAAAAAGATATTAAAAAAGACAATATAAAATCAGGACTATGAAACAATTCAAATGATATTGAAAAAAATTGTAGCAAAGAATAGTAGAAGCATTATAAAACTTTGAAGAAACTGAAACAGGTGGAAAAATCTACAAGTAAGACTGGCTTTACTCATTCAAATTTGAAATATCACGCAATGTAAAATCTGCATATTCCCTTTCACCTTGAAATTTTCCTCAGCTTGCCATTAGCTCATGGTCCAATGGGATCAAAAAATGTCAATTAAATAAACTTTTTTTCAGGTTTTTTAGCTTATGGTCCAAGGGGATCAAAAACTGTCATGTCAAGTAAAACTTTTTTTCATTTTTGAAAATGATGAAAGTTTTGCAATCAAATGATGATTGAATGGCAGTAGTTTTTTAAAAAAAAATCTATTTAACAGATTTTCTAATTTACATGAGCCTCAGACAACCATTAAGCAGAGTGTCAGAATCTCCAACCTTGGCATCAATCTGTAATATAGATTTGTGCTTTGTGTGACATTCTCATGAAGCTTTTGAGTTTCATTTCATCATTGAAGACTGAATTCCAACTATTCATTGTAAATTGTTTGGATTTAAATCTGGCTATTATTTTTGCTTCCATCATGCATTGGCATTAATAAATAACCAATGATTTCATTTTGAGAGCTATTACCAAAGATTTCATTTTGAGATAGGATTAAAATCTACATTTAAATGCGCTCCTTAAAACAGCATGGATCTTTTCAAAAAAAATGCTCCCTCTTATATTCTAACCCAATATATCTCCTCGGATTCCAGAACAGAACATAGTAAGTGTGAACTGATGCAATAGAAGTGTTTGCAGTACAATTTCAATTTTGATATGAGCATCTACATTACATCTCCTTTCCTTACCCACTTGGCTCATTTGCTTGCTAGAATGACCTGCAAAAAATAATAATTTCCAATCATACGTTGGTCAAAAATGGGAAGTATAAGCAATTCAAATCAAGGTTATTGGTTCAATTGACCACTTGAGTGTTTCAATTCAGAATGTACATTTACACTTGATTTATTCCTCAGAGCTTGCTCAAAATTTGCTTCAAAAAATTCAATGCTCACAATGTGCATATTTCACAGTAACTGTGCATAAAGTGATGCTTGGTTTTTTGATGTAGTTATAAGACAAGCTACATGTGGATTAAACCACATTTTGGCTGCTTCCAGTTTGGTATATCTTTTCTTCAACATAAATTTTTCAGGCCCCATTTGGACAGTCCGTTATATGTCATAAATCATTAAATTTATAGTGTGTGACCCCAGGGGGGTTTGAACTTTTGGCGCAGATGGGGTTTGATTTATAACCCAGGGGGCAATTTATGAAATATAACAGGATGTCTAAAAGAGCCTCACAATTATTGAGATCTAAAATTTTGGAATACACACCTTATGATGTTACTTAGGTAACAAACAAATAAAACTATACCAAGAGGTAAGCATCAATACAATAGAGCTATACAAAAAAAAATTAAAAAAATAGCTAATGATATTAAGATTGATTTTGGGGTGCACTATGCTGGGAGAAATCAGAGTTTGATAGAAACATCTCAAGAGTATGCAAATTGGAAAAAGTCGTTTAACTTAAACGACTCCCAAAAAGTGGAGAGCCGACTCCCAAGCCCCGGATTCCCCGAAAAAAGGGAGTCAAATCCCCAAAACCTTTGATTGTTTTGGGAGTCGACTCCCTAGAAAAAATAATAATAAAAAATCAAAATCCCCGGTCGGTTTGGGAGTCGACCTCCCAAACCAACCAGGGTTTGGGGGTCGATGACCCAAAATACCCAGGGCAGCGGCCGGGAGGAATCCACCCGGCCGCTGATCAGGTACACTCAAAGGCCGGGAGCTGACCCCTCGGCCGTGAGAGTTCACACAACTCAGCGGCCGAGACAATTCCTCTCGGCCGTTGAGGCTATACACTCTCAACGGCCGAGACAATTCCTCTTGGCTGTTGAGGGTACACACTCTCAACGGCCGATGGAAACCATCTTGGCCGTTTGAGGTGTACACACCTCAATGGTCAAGGGTACACTTGACGGCCGTTCAGGTGTACACTCAGAGAAACTCGGCTGCTGAGTGCGCACCTCAACGGCCAAGAGCTGCATCCCGGCCGCGGATAGTGTACACCTCGATGGCCAAGGTGGTTTCCCTCGGCCGGTGAGAGTGTATATCCTCAACGGCCAAGAGGAATTGTCTCGGCCGCTGAGTTGTGTACACCTCAACAGCCGAGACGGTTTCCATAGGCCATTGAGAGTGTGTACCCTCAACGCCGAGGGGAACCGTCTTGGTTGCTGAGGTGTGTACACCTCAACGGCCGAGGCAGTTTCCATCGGCCTTTGAGAGTGTATATGTACCCTTGATGGCCGAGAGGATTCCTCTCGGCCATTGAGGTGTACACTCTCATGGCCAAGGGGTCAACTCCCAGCCGTTGAGAGTGTACCTCAGCGGCCGGGAGGAATTTTCCCGGCCGCTGCCCTGGGTATTTGACCGGGGATTTTTATTTATTTACTTATTTATTTTTTCTTAGGGAGTCAACTCCCAAACCAATCAAAGGTTTTGGGGGTTCAACACCCTTTTTTCGGGGATTGCAGGGGTTGGGAGTTGGCTCTCCATTTTTTGGGAGTCGTTTAACTAACCCCCCTATTTTATTACTATGAATGGAGGACTTCCCATCACGATTTAGAATGGTCTCTGGACCCCTCTCAGTGCTAAATTAACACTCTAATCCAACCCATGACCAGCTCACATGAGCACCTTTTAAACAAGGGTTCTGGAAAGATGTGTTTTTTTTGCCAAAAACTAAGGGCCTGTACCATGGGATTCAATTTTGAAAATTTATCATTTTTCCTGGCTTCTACACAAAAATTGAAAACAATTCAGAAATTCTTCACTTTTAGGCCAAAAACTATCTATTTTCAGTGGTCAGTTTTGATGATATGAGAATTTGAGGAAGATAAATTCCAAGAAATTAGATTTTCAAGCCCTACGGTACAGGCCCTAAGACCTTGGAGGTGTAAATCAAATTCTGTGAGGGTTATCAATGCCAACGTTCATCCATTGCATGTATCTTACATTGGAATTAGAATTTCTTTTCACAATTTTAATATCCATACAAGGTTCTTCAATATTTTCAAAGGCCTTGATCATGAAAGAATCCAATACTGTTTCAAATTATCTTTTATGTATTACACTGATCATTTTGAGGCCATATCTATCATTATTCTGCTAATTGACCTGCTTTTCATCACCAAAAAAAATCTCTAAAGTTATGTGATTAATCCATTCCTGTTCTCCCTTTCCTTTAAAACCCCCCTCTGACCCCAAAAATGGGGGCTATGCCCTTGTTTCTTATAACTCAGATGTTAATCAGTATTTAGTAAATCCAAGCTGAGTCCAAATCCAAAGATATTTTAGTTTTCTGATACATTAGCAGGGGTCACAATCTGTCACAATGGATATCTCACATATAGCCATTTATCCCAAACCAACGGCTGCATGGCCTGCTGCAAAGATTAGAACCACACCACTGCAAGCAGATTCCAATATCTGAGCTGTAATGTATTGTAGCCAAACAGTTTTCTTCTTCAAAACAAGCATGGAAAAGCTCAACTGTGAACTCTTCTGTTGCAGACCAATGACAATGCAGTTATACTAATGTTTGACTCAAGTTGACAAATCCACAACATTTTCTTGTTCACTTCTATGCCATGTGAGAATTTATGGGAAACTCTCAGGCTTGAGTAAAACAGCCACCAAGACATCTGCTAAGCCTTGCAAAAATAAAAATGGTTTCCTTGCCATCTATGAAATTTTAGCTTCACACACAAAAAGAATACACAGTTGTACCCATCTTTCTGGGGTATTATGTGTCTCAAAAGCTGGTTCATGTGTACTGAAGTGGTTTAGTATAGGTTCCACAAAATCGAAAAGGTGTAAAACGGTCCAAAATGGACTTATGTCATGTTATAAGGTAAACTTTGCAGGGTCACCTCCCGACGGCGCCCCACATCTCCACATCTCCGATGCCGGCGGAAAATCATGAAACGACAAAAGATGCAAGGAGAAAAACTGAACGCAGCCGGGATCGAACCGACGATCTCTCGCTCTCAAAGAAAGCTGCTCATCCTATGTCGAAGGCGAGCGCCTTACCACTGGGCCATGCGTCCTTGTTGGCTTCCGGTCCGGCCGGAGCCTCGGACCGACTCGGACAGCAGCCGGGAGAGCCGGCCGGCGCCGGCATGGGCTCCGGCATCAAGTTTCTCCAGTGGGGCACCCGCGAATGATGCTAGTCTTTTCCATATCCTGTCCAGTGTGTGCTTGTGAGCAGGTAAGATAAGAAATGCTCATGAGTGCTTATGATTTGAGGTTATGTACATCGCCTGCACTAACGCTGGTATTATAGACTTCACAAGGTCGTTCCCGTGGTAGCCTTCGAATTAAACCAAATTCGGCTCAGTCGTAGCGCATCTTACCTACGCCAGTTCAGCCTGTGGTTGAAAGCCTACCCGGTTTCATTCGCGCTTTAGCAACCCCGGTTGGTCGTTACTTCTTTAATTTCATGAATAATTCTGTTGTTCAATTTTCTGGTGAGGATTTGCCTCCCCTCCCGCTCTTACTGTTATTGATTTTTGTGCCCAAGAAAGATTCTGCCAAGGAATCAAGTCAATAAAGTGAATAATGTTCGGAGGGTGATGTAAAAACTTCAGAATTTTTGAGCATGTGCTACAAAATGAGCGCAGCTACACCACAAAAGCACATGAGATACATGCAAAGTCATCCGGAATGCCTTTCAGTTGTCCCTTTTTGTATGTACTGGTTGGAATATTGTCCAAAAACCTTTCTGGTTATTCTGTGATTTCTTTTGGAAGGCTTTGAAGAACCTTTTATTACAAAACTTGGCTTGCGGAACGTTCTTGAAGTTGAACCAAGAATATTTGCATAAGATAACATTTCATAAACGTTGAAAGACGAGCCGTGATGGATGCCAGATGGCCCGAATGAGTTTTGAAGCTCCGCTGTAGCGACAGCAGCCAGAAGGCAGCTAGCAGTGAGCCCGTACCTATTTGCCGAGGAGGGATATACTTGATCGCTAAGGAGGAATACGTCCGGCGGGAACAGTGCTCCCCGCCCCGGCAAGGAAGCAAAGGAGTTGCTTGTGCACGGCAGTAGATGCGGCCACTTCGCTCTTGTTACAGTCCTCTCAATGGGTCTTTCGTCTGGTCTGGACTCCCTTGCAATTTGACACACCCTCTGCTCAACGCAGGAGGGAAGCTCATGGGCCATGTTCCTCGACAATTGGAATGTACTAGCAGAACATAATAACAACTTTGTGAATAGAGTCATGCTGAGAAGGTCCGAATTCAACCGTCTCACTTTCGGTTTCGGGTCAAGGAGCTCAACAGATATTGTTCATCATGTCTGAGAAAATGCGGTATATACTCATGAAGAGGAAAACAGCACACTTGTAACACGCATGAGGGAGAGAAATATACAATGTCTTTATGCTGATTAAGAAACTGAGCCAATCATTGAATAATCCATGAGTTTGAAGACTAACAACGCCGCAAGTCTTTAGATCAGTTCTTAATTTGGTGAGCAGCTGCGGCGGTCTGGGGGAATCCCACTTGGGCCATGGAATCAGCGAACTGAGGGGGCAGGAGGTTGTAAGCCGGAGTGCCTTCTTGCGCGAATCCGTTGATGGTTCGAGCGACCAGGGTGTCGTAAGCGCTGAAGGCTAGTGAGGCGATTGTGGATGTAGAAGTGGAAATGTAACCTCAGTATCCATCATAGAGACCTTTGGAAAAGATTTTTTTTTAAAAGTGAAACTCACGACTCATGACGGTGGAAGCTCCTGATCCATATTTGCTGGCGACGGACTTGGCGAGCTGATCCAACTGCGTGAACGCTTTGTAAGCAGAGACATTCACCTGAGTTGACCATCGCCTTCTGTTAGTATTCACGTAAAACTTTTCTACCAAGTTCTTCAAGGGACACTCACAACTGATCCGGATTGGAAACAAAGCCGGCCGCAGTCATTGGCGTATTGGAAGCTGTCACGGAACAACTGGTAATACCCTGCGACCCGCTCACGAGCAACGCGGGAATTGAGGTTTTGTTGCTGGACGGCGTCATTGAGCCACTTGACGTTTTTACCAAGGCTGTCGAGCTTGTCGCTTACGCGGCCTTTGGTTTTGGCTTCAGGGCTCATGTCACGAGCAACTAGTCCTTCACTGCGATGATAGAAAGAGTTAGCTTCTGCTAAGAGCTCTTTCTATAACCAGATACGCACTTGTTCGGGTGGGCCACAACCAACGCGATGACTACGAAAGAGGATCATGTGGGGGTCAGTGTTCCTGCAGGCTCGTGAATCGAAGTCTCTTGCAAGTTGAGAAGATGCGTTGAGGACATGCGCTTACCAAGAAACAAGGTGGCAAGTAATCCAAAGTTGAAAGCAACCATTGTGGCTGAGATAAAGACGTGAGCTGAAGATTGGCTGCTGGGTTGAGACTTGCAACTCTTGGGATGAAAGGGGTATGAAAGCTTCGATGGATAAGGGATGATAAGGGAGCATTTGGGGGGAAACAGCCTTGGTTTTATGTTGTTCCAAAGGTGCAAGCCACCGGACCCGAGCAGGCTCGATCCTCTTCTGTCCCACGATGCGGTGCAGCGGCATGTGGGTTGCTCCTCGGGGATCCGTAGTACACTCATCTGACACAAGGTGAAGGGTGCGGGACAAGACAAGTTGACATGGCTGGTCGCCTGATCAGTGGCAGTGCGTCCTCAGCGCCGGCCAACCAGATGAGCAGTGGTGACAATGATCGAGGCCTCTTCCCAAACCATTGCTTTGGCAAGGGAGGCTGCACCTGCACGCTATCCCGGTCACGGCCGTGCGGCTTGATCCATTCACTTTGGCCAATACCATCTCAGACAAAGTCTCACATTTGATTCACCGAAGAGGCCTCTATGTGCGCACCTGATCGGTTACTAACGCCCGGTATTGTAGCCTCAAAAGGAGGAATCCTCCCCTGTTTCCACAGACCCCAAAAAGGAAGAGAAACAGCTTAAACACACGATTTCCCAGAATTAGACCAGCCCATCCGATGAAGATGAACTGTAACCCATAATCCCCCAGTGTAAGGCTGGTCTCTCGCGTGCCGGCGAGGCCACTCGCGAGCTGGGTACATTGCCGGTTGAATTTTCTTCAAATCCCGAGGATTTGGATCCCGCTGGACTTTTGCGGTCCAAATCTTTCAAGTCGTTGTGCTGCACACCGCAGCCTGTACTTGAAATCTACAGCACAACACAACCGGCACGAAAAAGCATGAGGTCGCTGCCGGGTGGTCTTCCCACGACTCAACTCAGTTAGAGACCTTTGACCTTTGCAATTCTTGACCAGCCGTCTTATGAGAGAGTGAAACCAAGAACAATCGAGAGGAAGATGTGGACAATGCAAATGAAGAGAACAACAACCATGGACAGCTCAGGAAGATTCTCAGTATGCTGTCTTTCTTCATCTCCAGACTTGCAGACTTGACAGTCAAGCTGATCGATCTGTGCCTTTGAGCAGCGGTGGCTACGGAAGCCCACAGACGACAACGACCGCGCCATCGCGCCATCGCGCCATTCCATTTTTTTTTTTCAAAATTTCAAAAGTCAAAATCGCACTTGTACATATTTGAAATCTGAAATACCACCCCATCACCCCATTTCATTTTTTTTTTCAAATTTCAAAAAATTAAAACTAACTTGTACATATTTTAAAAAAAACTTTGTTTATTATGTCACATACACATATAAAAAATGCAAAAAAAAAACTTCAAGCCTCCAACATCCCCTCAATGAACACCTGACCGTGAAAAACCACCCATCCAAGGGTGTTTTTCTTCACATGTCCAGCGGTGGGCAAGTCTCATCACTATGAGTACAAACTATTATGACACCATTTGATGAGCTTGACCATTCATCAGGTGGTGTTCGGTGGAGAACACCCCAACAGAGGTATGATATGATCCACATAATCCCATCATCTCAAAACTCTTCAAAAAACATCCATCACAACTTCACTCCGTTTCACAACTCTACACAAAAAATTACACACCAGCTGTTCTACAAAATCAGCTCGTATTTTCCTCTGTTGATTCATATACCCAAATGCCAAGGAAACTGTAAGATTCTAACATTACAACATGTACATATAATATTAACTTCACTTGTTATTCCTAACTACCATGAAATTTTTAACACCCTTGTCCATTCAGTTTCTTGTTTTTGTCATGGCTTTTGTGTAATTTATCTACTTGTGAGACTCATACCGAGATACTATGCTACTTGTTGCTTAACAATCATGCTCTACTACACAAATTGTGTTCAGAATGGTACAACAATTGATCGAACTGACAAGTAACACAAATGGAAGCAGCTTAAAAAGATGGGAGATAGTGTCAAAAATCCTCCTCCAAGTCCAGTCGTGAAACAATCCATCCATCAGCTTATTATTTTACTTACCAATCCCCACCACTTGTTACACATCCCCCTTATCATTATGCCATCTTGTGGAAAGTGTAGTCGCACTACTGATTCTATTGTACTTGGCTGGTGTAATTTCTGCTTGAAAGATGCCGGTATTAAAGAACATCATATTGAAGCATCCCTCCATAAGCCACTCGCCTCAACCTCATCCAATCCCCCAGCAACAACCAGTTCCCAATTTCCTTTCCGAAGAAACACTGTCATTCGCCCCAGCTCCCAGCCCTCCTCAGTACCCCCAACAAGCACTTCAGCCCTCGATGAATATTTTCAGAATGCTGTCAGGAATAAACGAAAGAAACCTCAAGTCGCACCATATTCCAAGAATAAGCCTCCCCGATCCTCCTCAAAATCAACTTCCGACAAGGATAACGAACGTTTAATTGACTGTGGGTTTGTTTTATACGTCGATAACAAGATCAACACCCAGACCGGCATTCTCAATGTGAAGCAGAAAGTCGACCTCGACAACCCGAAGCTTTATGAAGACCTTCTCGACTCTCTCTGGCAGTTGTTTGATAAGCAGCTCCAGAAAAAATCATTACTCCCTCACTCACCCGATTCAGCAGAAGGATGTGTCAGCCTTGCCCAAGGGAAAAGTGTATTGCCCACTCCAGAAGCCCTAGAATATGTTGTTAGGAAATCGAATGACCGAAAGCCTGTCCTGATCAACATTATTTATCAATACGAAACTCCTCAAGATAAATCCTCAGATTCAGAATATTCTTCTTCCAACAACAACAACTCCTCTTCCAAGCCAACAACTCGATCCTCACGATCAAGATCAACCACGAATACCAAAATTAGCAAGTCACGCTCTAAGGATTACGATTCTTCTGACGATAGTAACAGCTCTTTGGAAGAAAACCTCTTGATAACAAAGTCATCCACTCGATCTTCCAGGAAAAAGTCTTTGGTTGATGATTCGACTCGACATTCTAGAAAACAGTCAACCCGAACTTGCCGAGAAAAATCTGTTGTTAATCAGTCTCGTTCATCTGATGACAACAATATGTCCTCCTCTGATGACAATATCACAATCATGCCACCGCCAACCCAACCTTCGGTCAAAAACCCTCTTCAACACCATCATCCCAAAAACAAAACCTCTCGATCTACAATATCAGGTGTCTCCCCCATGAAGAAAAATCGGAACTCATGGGCTTCTGCTGGTATTGCAAGTAAGCCAATTTGTAGTTCATATGACTTCTATTTTGTATAAATATTCATTGTGAAAACCATACTATTATCTAGGTACGATGCCCCGATTGGGAAGTTCCAGCCTGTCCACCCAGCTTCGTATTCTGGGACAGAATAATAATGATATTGTTGATGTTGTCAAAACTGGCTGGATCCATGCCAATCGATTTATATTCAAGACCTTTGAACGAACTGAATACGAACTGCTGAAGGCAGAGACCGAACCCATCACATTAAGGATCTTTAGGGATGTGATCATTGGTCAGGGAAGTATGAGACGTGCATTGAAGGCTGAAGTGAAATCAATTTCTGAAGATGGCGCGGAAATAATCTCAAACTATGTTGCAAAGATTCGATATAAAGAAAATCTGTCATCACTCTCAGCCCATGCAAACGATGCCATGATGTATGAAGCTAGTGGACTTCTATTGAGAAAGTTCAAGTCGATCATTGCTGAAAGTAACAGAGTCGAACAACAATTCAAACAAAGAGCCAAGAAAATGGAGGTTTGTCATATCCTTTGCCTCATAGGTTTGTGTTTTCATAAGCTAACATCTTTTAATTACTAGATTGTACGCCACGCTGTTGTCGCAACCGGAGATACTCAATTTCCTTCGGAAGTCTTTTTCTTGGAAGCAGCCCTGGAGGGCACATATGTCAAGTATTCAAGTAACATTGACTTTGATGTTGCTGAAGATCAACCTGGAATGGAACCGAGAATCTGTAGATTAATGAATGCATTCACACACTGGTCCTACGTTGAATCAAAGGGTAACAGCTTGATTTGTGACTTACAAGGAGTTGGTCCAATCCTCACCGATCCACAAATCATTGATTTGGACCATACGTAAGTCAATCGTTACCACTTGCTGAGTTTGAATGCATCACACTCATTTAATTTCTTACTTTTAGGCGATGGGCTGATGGTAATAATGCTAAGGAAGGCATTTCGATGTTTATCAAAAACCACATCTGTAACGAAATTTGTATACAACTCAGATTGGAATCTCCCGATACAATCAATAAAGATAATCCCTCGAACATTTCAACTTCCAACCAACTACAAAGACTTACTGGAAGAATTACGACTCCTAAAAGACCACCTGCTCACCAAATACAAATACAATCTTCCCTTCCGATAAAATCCAGTCTTTCTCATATTATTAATTATGCCGATGGAGCTCTTCCTTCTGGCTGGTTATCTGATCATCCTGCAACCACCACCGACTAGGATTATGTGTTGTTGTTACAAGCTTGTATTTCCTCCTTACTCTCTCTACTCATACGATTTTTTGAAATAGATTCCACCAAAATGTACTCACAAAGAAGGCTAGTATATAGGTATTAGATAAAAAACAAGTTCCCTTTTTTAATCAATTGCCTTTCTTATTATAATCATAAACAAAAAAAAGAAAAAAACACGATTTTTTATATTTGATTATGAGTGAAGGAATAGAAACAGTTTATTCAAATTTGTCAACAACTTGATTAAAGATATAATCATGATCCCCAAGGTAGTATGGGATGTTATTTTTGGGGGTTACTCTGTTTTCATAATAGCCACTAAAGATACGGCGAAATGCATCAACACAACTCTGGGATATTTGGAGGGAAAATCCAAATGGAGTAAGGGTTGAATGAGCGGGTTGATTATTATGAGTACAATGTTCGAATTGGCCTGCATCAAATACTACACGACATATGCCATTTAATTTTCGCAAGTCAATTGCCACTTTATGATCAGGAAACACAAAGAAGGGACCTATGAAGGTGGGATCAAGGTGACTGTTCAGAGCAATGGAACCGTCTTTTTTGTTGATATTTGTTAATAAGAGGAATGCAGTAGCACCCGCATCGTCGTCACAGTGTGGTTTATTGGAAAATTCGTCCCGTGTAAAGGCCAAGTTGGATGCGAATTTGTGATCCAAATCGTCATTATTCAAGTTGGCGTCCGAATAATGAGGCATTCCCAGAGAGGTCAGTAATTTATTTGCTGCATTGACAGCCGCATCCGTAATTGAGTAGAATAATCGATGTATAATAGAGCTGGCCGAAACTCCATCCCCCAGATGATCCAAATAGGCGAAGAAGTTTTTTTTGATACCGGGTGTATCAATGTAACGTCCAGCCATCTCACCCTCTGTTTGAGGCTTACGCCAGCCAATCGTCCACATATTGCCACGATAGATTTTCTGGGGGAGCTGGATAACATTGACAAATTTTCGTGATTGATGTAAAAAGGTTGTAACGTAGTGGAGATCTTCTTTGTCCTGCTGTGAAAGCTCCTCGGATGGTGTGAAGTGGATGTAGGCAATGAAGGTATCGACAGGCTTATCGGATTTCTGGGCTTCTTCATTATTTACATCTTCCTTTTGTTGGGACTTCGAGTTTGACTGTTGGGCTGGTGCTTTAATTTAAACAAATGTCATATGTCAGATTTGCCATGCAAAACAAGCTCATGAGATCAATCGTGCTAAGAGGGGATATTTGTTTACCTTTGTTAGTCTTCTTGGTTTGATGTTTGTTGGACTCTCGAGGTTCTTCTCCTTTTTTACCTTCGACAGCATCTACCAACATATCAATATTACATGTCAGTTTCAAACCACTTGATTAGGATAATCTGAATATCTGTTTTACCCTTACCGGTTTTTTCAGGTTTGACTCGTTCATATAAAGCAACATGACCATGATCAATTAACGTGAACTGTTTGAGAATGATATCTTCGGCGGCTTTGAAGTCATCAGGGGTTGGGTGTGCTTTCCGATAGGCTTTGTGACTGGAATCCGCAGGTTTGTAAATTGGATAGAGTTTAACCGGATCCTTCTCACGGAACATGAGCTTCATGTCAGGGTCATTCCTGGTTGTGAATGAGGCTAATCGTGCGATCTGTTCCTGTTTTTTTTTCTGGTTGTACTTTTGTTTTTTTCTCTTCTTAACAAATGCCTGCCCGCTATTCAATACCACCCATTCAAATTATCATCCATAGATTGATATCCCAGAATGAGACATACGAATCAAGTGATTGATATCCCAGAAGAGAGACATACGAATCAAGACATATGATTGATATCCCAGAATGAGACATACAAATCAAGTGATTGATATCCCAGAAGAGAGACATACGAATCAAGATATATGATAAATGAATGGATTGGAATAAAGGCAGGAATTGTGATAATAAGAGGGGAGAGGATGGAAAGGGGATAGGGTAAAACCAATAGAAGGGATATCATTAGTTAATTGTAATAATGGTTTCTAATCAGACACTCTTACGTCATCCTTTTTT